AAAAAAAAAGTTTGTAGCTCCAGAATCTCATTGCAGTTCCTGGATGAAATTCAGACACGGCTTCTTTTATTGAATACTTGGTTCCAGAAACTAATGGAAACTGGACCCAGTATTGGAGGGACAATACTAACAAGGTGTGTGTTACACAATGTTCCTTGGTTTCCTGTTTACACATCCTCATGTATTTCCCCTCACCCCAAGCCTGTCACTGAGCAAAACCCAAACAAGGATTTCATGAAGAATTGAAGGCTCCTATGGCAACAACATCAATATTTATCTGTAAAAATTACAAGCTTCAGCTAAGATGCTAGAAAAAAGCTCTTAAATCTTTCAGATTGATCAACAGCCATATTTTACACTGCATTTGTGTATCATTATTTCTGAGATGTGCTCTCTTCCCAGGGTGCCACACTCACACCAGGACAGTTACAGAGGAGCCAAGTCTGATAGGCTAAGAAACAGTAATTGCCAGTGAAAGTTTTCTCTGCAGATGGATTAAACTGTGAAAGAGACTGGCTTGAAAAAATAGTGGGTGCTTATCACTGAATCAATTTTTAACAAGCTCATGTTGACTGTATTATTTTTTTCATCAAAACCATAATCCTAAATTGAACTATTGAACAACCAGACGAGGTTAGGTTTGCTTTTTATTTTCCCTCTTTCATGGACTGAAGGGGCAAGACATGGCAGATACCCTTCATCCATCACTTGCTATAATGAATGCATACTCATTAGCATACTAAAGAAATTGCACCTTCTCATCACATCATAGTAAGATAGAAAGAGTCTCATCCTGTTGCTGTTCATGAGCCACATTTCAACTTCTTCACTTGCTATAAAACAGCACCTTGCTCTACTTTCCCACTGTGATGAGACCTCTTCTTGAAGCACTGTGGTCCTCAAAATTAGCCTAACCCCTGTTCTTTCAATTTTTTATTGCTAAGCTCCTAGCTTACACTATGGGATTTGATTTTTAAATATTTTCTTTTAATAAGAAAATGACTGATAGAGACTCAGGTCCCTGTTGGAAAAATCTGCCCACAACTTTGCATCCAGCCTTGCCTCAGAAAGTTCTTGAACGAACAAAATTTAGGGTAAAGCAAAGCTACAAAATTTTATATGCTTTCTCACAGTACTCCCTTTTTAGACTAAAAGTTCTGCCTAAATCAATTTTTCACACTGCATTTTCTTTTGTCTTGCTTAATTCTGATTATACTGACAAATTACTGTACCCGTTCCTTCCTGTTCCTCATTTTCCCAGTATGTATATAGATATGATGCTCTATATTTTTCATATGCTATTCTACAAGCCCTCCTTCAAATATTTCACTGGTATTCAGATTCACTGCATTTCCACAGGCAATTCCTATAGAAAAGATAAGCTCCCCTGTCCAAGCTCAGAGCAATTTCCACTGCAATTAAAAAACCGGGGAGCCCAATAAATTTAGTGTCTACTAAAACCCAAAAGGAAGAACAGTTAACCTGGCAATGTAAATACCTTTCAATGTAACAATTTTCACTCTCTAAAAATGAAATATTTTACTGTAACTGCTTCTTTCAAATGTGGAATAGTATCCAACAAAATTCGTATTTTTTAATTACTATCTGAAATGTAGTGTATAAATGAAACAAAGAACTGAAAATCCATAAGAAACTACATAATTCATCACTCTTTTATAATTCATCACTCTTTTGTGGAAATAACAGAATGATCTGCCTTTCCTGCCTTAGTTGAAAGTTTATTGAATCAAGCACTGGCTACACTTGTCTCTAAGGTTACCTGTGCACCACTTTATTTTGGAGTGACAGCTCTGTAGAGAGCAACATATTCCAATAAAGTGTCTCCGTGCTTGTCTTCCCAAAACACTTTTCTTCCTTAACCCTCTCCTAATGGTGCTGAGACCCTTAAGCCTGGACTCAAGACTCTTTCATTTGCCAAACGCATGTACCAGGAAGGGGTTGAGGGGTGGAAGAAACCAGAGCACTTTTTCAGCCACGTGCTGCTCTCCATTAGGATTTTGGAGGCATCATTTTATTAAAAGAACTCTTCTGCAGCCTTATCAGGCACAAGATATTCTGTCCATGCATTATATGCCCTTCCCTTTTTTCCCACAGGGAAGCTGGAGCATTCGCAGACCCTGCTGGAGCTGTAATTGCTGCCAGCTGCTCTGCCAGCTGGGTGTGTGGAGCTGGGCACCAAGTGCTCTGGCCAAGGTCCCACCCTCACCCCAGACAAACTGGAAAACAGCAAGATGCCCAAATTGCTCTGTCATTTTAACAATATTCTTCTTCTTCTTCCCAAGGCAACAATTTCACACCTTTTCCTATCAGTTTTGTTCTTTGATGGACTAAACCCTTGGATTATGACCCTCCTCCACAAAGAACTGTGAAGGTTCTGCATTGCCTGGGGGATGGGAACACGTGCCTGAAATGGTACCTGCTCCCCACACCAGCCTTGGGATATCAACATCCAAATTCCCACAGAAGCACCCCAGGGAGCTGCACTCTCAGCTCACTCAGCACGCAAAATATGTTACAGCGTAAAACATCAATTTCCTCACAGAAATATTTCCTATGTATCTCCCTACCAACACTGATGGTTTCATCAATCAGAAGCTTTTTTTTTTTTCCCTTTGGTCATGAAATCTAAAAAGAGGCTATTGTCTCTTTATAAGATAATTAAAATAATTGTGTGTACGTATATATATATATATATAAAATTTGTGTCCTCATGGAGTATAGGCATTATTAAATCAATTTTGTTGTTAAGTTCCACTTAGGTAAAATAGGATATTGGATTTCTAAACTAATTATACAGGAAAGAGGTCTAGTACTGAGTTAAATGGAAACTTTGGTCTGCATACACTCGGGTGATTTAATTTCCTTAAGTCTATCCAAATATCCAATCCTACCACACTGCAATCTACAGACATTGGAAAACAAATATTTTACTCACCACTGCACATTTAGGAGCTGCATTTGTAAGATGCCTGTAGTTTTACCCCCCCAATGAGAGAATCACTAACATTGTCATGCACCTACCTCCTTGAAGTCGGGCTCCTTCTCCACTTTCATGTCTGAAATTCAACAGACAGAAGTTTAACTAAATTCTTTCTTTCTTTCCTTTTCAAAGCTCCAGTTGCCTGGGAAGTTGTGACTCTCCTTAGCCACATCCCAGGAGCTCCCCATTCTCTGCAGCACTCTTGAAATCATCCAGAGGATAAGGAGAAGGAATCCTAATGCCACTGAAGAGGTGCAGAAGACGCATCAGTAATCAATAGCAGTGAGGTTCTTCCTTCCCTGGAGGCAACTGACTTGCTAGGATGAGTTACTTGCAGTAAATATAAAACACCAGGACCACTGCACCTTGCCTGGGTACTTTTAAACAGTGCAGAAGAAAGTGGTATTCAGGATCTCTGGGTCCTCTTCCTCTCTTGTTTCTTCTCTGAAATCTAATAAACCTGTGCAGAGGGATACGAGGTCACACCTTGTATCCTCTGCGTTTTATTAGAGGAGTCAACACTCAATATTCCAAGTTTCCAAGGAGAATCTTTGGCTTCAGATCAAACAAAAGCTCTTCTGCCTTAAAAGGTGCAATTTCTCAATTAAATTAACCTGACTCCATACTCAAAGTGCCAGAGTTGAGAGAACAGAGACAATCATCTTCACTTTCAGCCACAAAGAAAAATCTACATATGCCAAAAACTGAGCAACAAGGAGCAGTTGGTTATAGCAAATCACAGCAGACATTGAAAGAACCAGGTCATAAATAATTCCATCCTTGCTGCCAAAAGATTAAATAAATTAGTTTTAAAAAATAATCAGCCTTTCTTTGTACTCAACAATCTGGGGAAAGTATTCCAATTGACATGCAGTTATGCCTGGTTTTGTAATATAATTGAAATTTCAATATGACCTACAGGTTTCATAGATTTTGCAAGTTGTAGTAGCAGAAAAAGGAGCGAGGAAATCAAGAAGGTAAAGATAAGCTCTAGCAAGCAGTAAATGGATATGCTGATTCCCTAGCTTTCCATAAATAGGTCTGTTCTAGTAAGTGTCATATTTTAAGGACAGCTGAATCAAACAGCAATTTTTCAGACCCAAAATGTCATCATGGTGTTTAACAGCAGATAAGCTACAAAAAGTCTAAACTTGTGCTTTTTCATGCAATGTGTACTAACGCTTGCTCTACTGTAGATCACCTGGAGTCATTAATGATTGCCATTAGTTATGATGTAGAATCTGATAGGTAACACAGTTCAGTGGTGCTGTTAAGTGGAAGGATTATTTCAACAGGTCAGCAAAAGTAAAGGTAAATTCTTCAGTCTAACTAGCAGAGCCTGCATCTGGCAAACACTTTTGCAATATCTGAGTTCAACTCATGCATAAAAATATCAGTAAAAGCAATTAATTTGCATCTGATTCTCACCCTTGTGTACATAATTACATAAAAAACATCTGTATCTGTAGGACAGTGTGAGAAACCATGAGAACATTAAAAGCATACCACATTTCCACCCAGATTTCAGATAACACGTTTTTTAAATGTACCAGTCTTGCCAAAGGCATTCCCACAGAAGGCCATGTCCTATGAGACGTTCAAAGTTGGAAAAGCTGGAGGTGTGATGTTGGGGTAGAATGAATTGGGAATGGGGACCTGTCGAGCTAGAGGGAAAGGAGGAAACAGTGCAGGATCCAAACATCTGAGATAACATTTCCTGAGCACTGCTGAGACACAAGCATTCCTTTTGCAGGTAACTAACACAACCAAGTGTGGCACATGGCAAACATGAGCACGGAGTGGCTGCTTTGCAGAGGAGCACCAACCAGCACATCTGGTGGGAATTGGCCTTTTCCCAAATCCTCCACACGCTGAGTCCAGGCTCAGCACACACCCACAGCCTGTGTTTCCTTCATGTGCATTTGGCTCAAATTGGGAAAAACCACCTCAGTGAACTGAGCTGGATGAGTTAGGAGCACGTCTGGTTAGGAGAAGCATCAGTGTTGTCAGGTGAGCGTTTATTAAGTGACGGGTGTCATTTATAAAATCACAAAGCAGCAGTCCCAGCCAACAGAAGACTTGAAAACGACGCTCCTCCATAGAAAACAGGATTTGAAAAACCTTGTTTGAATTCTGCTCTTACTTTTCTGTTGTTGTTTTGTGTGATCTTACTGTAGTGCACATTGTAGCCCCCATAAATTATACCCTACCTACGCTATACATATGTACTCCATATGTCCTATAAATGCCACAAAGCAAAGCCATACTTTGTGGTAACACTGGGACCCAAACAAGGTATCATTGCACATTAAAATTGTATTAAACTAATTGAAAAATAGTTGAACATTGCTAACAAAATGAGAGAATTACTAAACATTAAAAGACAAGAGACTTTTCAGTGTTCCATAAAACCACGCCTTTCAGACAAATTAATTATTTGCATCATAAAAAAAATCCTAACAGTGAAAGAAAATATTCCAGAAGGAAGTGATGAGTAAAAAAGCTTCAGGTGATTTTTCATTACATTAAAAACAATTCTCATTCTCATAAAATATGCAGAACTTTACATCTTAAATAGCATATTTACCTTCAAAAATTACTTTCATTTTAGTCTTGCAAGAAATTAAACCTTAATTATATAGGAAAGTATTTGGAATATATCCAGAAATAAGAAAACTACAGCTATTCCCCTATAAGTGGCACAGCATCTGTCAGGAGTTTTCACATACCTTCAGGAAGATATCTCAAATTAAACCAACACTGTAGTTGCTTTCCATGATCAGAGTTAATATTCTGCAGACCCATCCTGGCTGCCTTGTTTATTTCATAGTTTCAATTTCTATTGCTGTACTTCACCCTGGCAAATAAATGGATGCACGAGGGGCTCGCCCTCTGAATAAATAATAAAATCTAATCTGTCAGATCTTCCTTTGCCTTGAATGAAAAACATTTCATTCCTCTGTGATGCTGTTGAAGCTAAATCTTGTTGCAAGAGACTGAATGAGCAGCCTTGGAATAAGAACTAAAGGTGTGTTGGAGCTACGTCACCACCGTGATGAACATCAGAATTACATCTGAGAGCAGATGGGAGGAAAGGAAGATGCACTATACAAAATATGTCCTCATTTGAGGAGTAAAGTATTACTCAATGGCATTATACATTGTTAATAAACTTTCTTTATCTGAAACTATAATTTAATATTTATGTATCTAATTTACATGTGACAAAGTAGCATATTCTAAAATTAGAGTGTAACCAGCAAACTATTAACTACTATAAACAATACCAAAACACAACTCAAACATATTTTAAGGAAACCATAGATACATTTTGGACTGGGGAATGATTTCAATTGCAGATATTGTTTTAAATACAGCTGTCAATTACATCTTGAAAAAGTTTCTTCAAGCTCAGAAAGAATTTCTGCTTAGGGATTCCTGGGTATATACCTAAAGACCAAGAGCACACCACCAAAAAGACCCCTATTGGTTACTAATAGGTACAGTAATAATTGTAAATGCTTAAATTGTGTGGGGGAAATAATTTTCAATAACCATGTTATATGATGCACTAGACAATATCCCCTTTGAGCAGAAACTAGAGAAAATACCGTGCCCTTTATTATCTCTGTGGTTTCTTACGTGTAATAGACAGCAGAAGAATTGCACTTATTGTAACATTACAGTGTTAGATTCCAGTTCACCTTTTAGAATATTAGTGGCCATAATACTTGTGATAGGTTGTGCCTTATGCAAAGATGAATAAAGATGTGCATTTAAATAAAAAAGAAAACAAAAACCAAAAACAAGCAACCACTTACAGAACCAACAGTGAGGCTTAACATAACAAACATGCACTAACCCTACACTTATGCAAAACTAAGTTCTTCCAGGAAACTGTAACCAACAGTTGACCTTCCACAAAGGTAAAGGTTTTTTCCCTTGGTAATATGTTTGGACTTTGTAGTTGAATTCCAGTTTATTAGCTCATTGTCTGTAAATGTGCTGTTCCACTGTGGTATCCTTTAGCTGCCCTTGAGCTTCTGCAGAATCTGCAATCTTACAGTCACTTTTATTTAATGTTTTATTGAGCTGCAGAGTAAGTCCCCTTCAGTACTACACAAATAGGCTTCCTTATTCATCCTCTTCAGGCTCCTGTGGTAAAATTGGTGTCTCCTCCTTTAAACAAGCACTAAAAAACCCAAGGATTGTGCTGTAAAGGTGATATTTGCTTTTCTCAGAAGCAATGTTATGACCTTCATCCGGATAGATCTGGCAGAGGAGAAAGGAAAAAAAAGTAAATAGTTTTTAAAGGCTTTTCAAATATTTAGGGCTTTAATTTTCTTTCTCTGGTCTTCAACATGTTTTAGATGACAACAGGATGATAGCATTAGTTTTATGGCATCGAGGAAAGCTAATAAAACCCAAAGTAAGACTCATTCTCTTAGAATTTGAACTTACAACCACTGCAGTGGGATCTGCAGAAGTCAAAAAATTTATATTCTCAGCCATTGTGCTTACAACAGTTTACTTTAGCTAGCGTTTTCAATAGTGCCTAGGCATCCAAATCCCATTAACATCCATGAGGATTAATTGCCTCATGCTTTTAAGGACCTCTCAATATTTCAACTTCTAAGTGTTTGGCAAAAACCCTTTTTATTCATATCTTAACTATCTTCCTATCTGGTCCAATGCCCATCTTCTCTCTCTCCTTGGGTGGGTGTGGGCATTTTTATCTCTTAAAACAAATACTACTGGGAATTTCTCCCAAGTGAGGCTAGGCAAAGATTTGCAGGCTGAATGAAGAAATCCAGCCCACAAGACGAGACTAAGGCAAAAAGCTTCAGCTGCCTCCTCAAACCCAGGTTATCACAAGGTTGCATGAGAACAGCTCAACAGGGCTCTTCTGGGAGAACTCTGTCATTCCTGCTTCTTCCTCTCTTCACAGGCCTTCACCTCAGCTGGAACCACATGGGCAGCAGGAACAGTTCTACATTTAAAGTCCTTTTTCCTGCCTCAAATGGCACCAACCCCCTCCCTGCCACAAGCTCACATTCCAGTGCAAACTACAGGATCACCCTAAGCCCAGCAGGGTCGAGGTTTGCAATAGCCAATAAGCATCAGGAGTATTTAGGGACTGATTCAATCAAAACCCTCTGCCAGCAGCATCCATGTGCTCCAGGTGTGTCCCATGCAAGCCCATGCCTTGACAGAAGCCCTGCCATGCTCTTCCAAGAAATGTAAATGTTGAAAATAAGGGGAAATCACTCTCAAGTGATCCAATACCTTTTTAGGTAAAAAGGAACCCAAAGCAGTGACATCTCCATGTTACAAAGGCTGCCCATGGATTCCAGAGCACTTTGTATAATTGTAGGATAAAGAGGTGGAAAAAAGAAAGATGAGAGAGAAGAGAAAGAGTCCATGAGAACAAGATGATGATACAGCTCCTGATATCCACACAAACAGGGAGAAAAATGGGATTAAACAGAGTTCTAACTGCAAATTAAGGAAATACCACTGTGTTGTGGTAGAGAGGATCCTTTGCAGTGAAGAAATAGCAACAGGAGGTTAAATGTTCACCTATGTTTATAGGAAAAGTCACAGGTGCACGTACCTGCATAGTGTAATTAGCCCCAGCTTTTATTAGACGCTTAATTAGTTCTGCTGAATGCTGGAAGTGAACTTTAGCTGCAAGAAAACATTTGATATTATTAGAAACAGCTACAGTAATGTGAAATACTTATCTGTTACACAGCTTTGGCTGAAAACATTTCCAGGCTCTGTAATTACTGGATCTGAAGCTGACTATTTCCAAGGCCAGCCCCACCAGCAACAGGGTGTTACAGCAGGAAGGAGCTGGAAGCCCCAGGGGAAACCACACTTTCCATTTAGTGAGGACTCCTCTGTTTACCTTTGATTTACACATACTATAATAGCTTAGAGATGTGTAAAACCATTCTGTCTGAACATCACAGCATCTTCTAATTTGCTGGGAAGAAAGTACACTGCATTTTCTATTGCTTGCACGGGGTCACTACACCCCACTCTTTAGGTAATGGATTTTCTGGAACTCATCAGTAACCTGATCTTTGTGTGGCAAAGCCATGATTACCATGTCTAACCCTGCAGAGTTTAGGCTGCAAGTGGTCTGGGCAGTATCACTGGATGTGATATTGAGCAGGGGCAGCAGACAACCACACTGCCAGGCCAGACCCTGCACTGCTCAGACATCATCAAAGCCCCAGTTCCCTCCAGATTGGTTCAGAGGGGCAGAAATTGCTGCTGCCTGCTGCAATCAGTAAAGCCTGAGCCCCTCATGCCTGCTCAGTCATCCAGTTTATTTTCAACCCTCCCTCCTGTGCTCTGGGGAGAAGCACTGGAGAGGGTTTGCACACCTGTGGTTGCACTTTGGATCCATAAAATGGGTTTGACAAGTCAGGGATGATGGGCTGGCACTGTGCCAGCTGTGCATGGGCACTGTTGTCACAGCCCTCACCACTGAGAGGCACTTATCCCTTCAGACTGAGTAAGAAACCTTGTATTATTCCACATCCACCAGAAAATACTGGGGAAGAAGTAGGCATGTCAGTCTGTACAGAGCAGCTGTTTACACCACTGTAATTTGTGCCTGCATCAAAGCTCATTCTTCACACATCAGTTAAGAAAGTTCAGAAGAATACATTGCAGTGAGATCTGCAATTACAAATTATCTCAATTCATACATCTTATGATTTCATCCAAAGTGCTAGAACTTACCCTGTGTTATTCATTCTCTGTTTTAATGTACTGCTAAAAGTACTGGTGCTATTAAAAGGTTCTGTGTAGCTTCAGAAGGTTTGCAAGAACCTTGTAATTACTTAGATGAAAAGATTAACTTCCCATTTGGTGATGTACTTCACCAGCTGTACTGATAGTTCTGCAGAATTGGTATGAATTTAAGACACCATTAAAAATGTATGTTGTTCTATTAATAATTTATGTAATACCTTTCACTAGCATCACAGTGGTCCACAAGATTTAAACAAATTAGAACATACAGCACCTAAAAGGTGCAAATGCTCAGCAAAAAAAAAGCTTCACCAGTTCAGAGTTGGAAGTGACAGCTGAAACAAAAGAAAAAAATCCTATCAGAGGGAAAAAGAAACTGCAAATGTACTTGCTAGGTGTGTGCCTCATCAGCCCTTCAACACCTGCCTATTAGAAGCTCTGACTCCAAATTAGCTGCATCTGTAAATACTTACCATCAGCTGTCCCATGAACTATTAGCAAATCCACTTCTTTTAAACCATGAAGATTGTGTAATACACTGGATGCCTAGTGAACAAACACACACAAAGCTGTATTTGAGTTGCATTTTAAGAGTAAAATGGTCATTTTAAGTTACTTGTTTATGCTAACTTACCTGATAGGTAATTTCATCTTTTGATGGAATCCCAAGGTATCTTTCTGAAAAAGCTGATGCTGTAAAAATAAAAACAAAACAAAACAAAACAACAAATCTTGTGAATTTCAAGTTATTTCTATTTTAAAATTCATAATTTTAGAAGCTGTTGAAGCCATGAAGTCAAGATTGTTCATTTAGAGACACAGAATTCACTATTTTGATGTACCACTTAAAACCACTTCTAAATAGTCAAAAGAGAAAAAAACCAAACAAAAACAATAATTAAAAAAATACCAGCCCCAAACAACAACATGTGGTGGTTTGACCAGGAAGAAGTGGGAAAAAAACCCAACCCCAAAAGAAAACACAGGCTAAACCCCAAAGAAAGTCTAACAGACCATTAAAGTAATCTGGTTTGGTTTCCTGTGAATCACAGTGCCCAAAAGAACCAAATAAGCTGTAATTGAATGACAACAGAACTGATATTGTAGGGAATTCACAGCTAACCTTAAAGGATTCATTCCTAATAAAAGATTTGGTTCATGCTGATATACATAAAGTATTCTTAAGAAATGAGGTAACTGCAAAATCAGTACTGTCAATAATCCCAAGTGTGTTGCGGGTTTTGGTGAACTGTCCCAGTGTCAGCTTTACTTTCATTTACAGAAGAGACCAAGACAGTGAGGTGAAATCTCACTAACATTGTTATGTTATCTGCCTTTAGTAAAAATAAAATGAATAAAAGGCCTTTCGAATAAAGTATCACCCAGGTTTAGGGCAGGGATTACTCACCATATAACTTCATATCTGTGATTGGTGCCACCACAGCTCCACACTTGAAGAGCCGCTCACTGGATTTCAGGATCATTGATGTAATGTAGCCACCATACCCCTAACAATGGGATGGAAATTTTGGTTTATTTATTTCATTCTAGCAAAAATAAAGCTAAATGCCATTGTGCTAATCCAGTGGTATATTTTTTATAGTTTAAGGGTGCATAAAGATCTCATTGACCTGGTCATGACTTTTAATCTATGCAGTTAATGAGTATTGAACATTTCTTCACCATTTCCAAAGTCTAACACATCTCCCCTGGAATCGCTGATACCAGAGAGTCATGAAACCTTTTTGAAAGCTTTAACTTGAAACCACAGATTTCTTTGAAATGACACTGGCAATCCACTTCTGTACACCTGTAATCATTCTAGACTCACAGAAAATGGAATTCTGAATGTGACACCTGGAATCAATGATTTACTCGTATATTACAAGCTCCTCAAATTTCTCTGCTTGCCATCTGTTTTCCCTTCATTGGTACTGAAAAATTGGTATGTCTTCAAGGATATTGTTGTTTTTGTTGTTTTGTGTTTGGCACAACACATTTCAGGAAGACAAAATTATCCCATGACAGGGAAAATATAATGTAAAACACCAGCAGATGCAAAAAAAGATTATGCACCAAGTGCTTACGGTTTTCTCAGAGACTTTTACAAATGCTGCCTGCTCCTGTTCTTCATGCCTAAATATTTATTGAACAGATTATTTTTGTGGAAGAATGGCAATATTTGAAAACCCTTTAACCTTATTTAAGAAATATAAGTAAAGAAGTTTCTTGTACTCTGCAATCAATCCATATTAAGGGATGGACATACTGAAGAAAATAATACCAAATAGGAGATGGATTTTTAAAGGAAACATGTGGGGAACTGAGTTATTCCTTTCCCATACAAATTTCAGCCCAGGAGGCCAAGAGCCATCCAGATCTGTTCATGAGCAGGAGCAGATTTCACCTAAGACAGAATTTCTGAGTGGGCACCTCTAATTTGTATAATTCAAAGAGCTTAAAAGAATAGCAACTTTCCTCTGCCTCTGGGTTTTCTCTGCTTTTACTTTTGTTTAATATTCTGTTTGTGTCTTGCCCACTAGCTCCACAGCACAATTTTAATCCAAGGATAGGTATTGCCAGGTTATTTATTATTTATTCCATGTTTTCATTAAGACCTTGTTTAATTCTCCTGAGAGTTTCTTCCCTTTGTGCCTGTGTCCTTCCTTCCAGCCAGGCTTTCCAGGACAAAAAAACATAACAGAGTGAGTTATTTATAAATTCTTAGAAGCATTTCACAGTGACATTGCTATTCCATATGCCCTGATGCAAGAGCATGTGCTGCCTCACTCACCTGCTGGGTTTCTGGGGTTGCAGCCTAATTGCCACATTTTCAAGAAAGACATCGGCTGTAGAATTGCAACTTATTTTTAAACTCTCTTTTCACTTCCATGAATAAAACCACAAACTCCATGGAACCACATTTGGCTGTCTAACACCTCAGGCCCTTGGATCAAGCATCTCTTAAGCTTGCACCCCTCACAGAGATAAGCAAGGGGGCGTTGGCAGATTGCCTGGCAATTTCCCCCACTGTGCCCTTCTGGACAGTCTTGTTACTCTTGTGCCTCATTGACATCACCAATTGTGACAGGAATTTTACTTCTGTATAGCTCTGAAACCTCTCAGAGAGCTTCCTGAAAGTGTATGTGTCCAGTTTTATGACATCAACACTAAGCCATTCCAAAGTCAACTTATCTTCAAGCAAAGTGCATATTCTGTTTCCATAAGTAGAGCAAATTTAATGGAAAAAAAAATTGTTTCCCTACCACGTTCTTGTATGTGATATAAAGGAAATGAGTTTTAAAAAAGATTTTTAATTGACTCTAAAACAAGCAGAGTGGAGGAAGAATACAAATAACCTTAAGAAGTTGTTAAATATACTTTTATTGTTAATTATAAAACTGACTTTTAAATTTTATGTTTTTTTTTTCTTTTGACAGTAAAAAAAAAAACAACTCTGAAAGGTTAACTTGGAAAGGGGAAATTTCCCTGAATTCAAAGCAGTGTTGAAAGCTTATTGAATTTCCCACTCTTCATTCCTCAACACCGCTTTCAGAAAATAAATGCAGGAGCATAGCAATCAATAACATTTTGTGAAAGAAAAGAGAATTTGGGGTAGGTCTTGGCAGATATGTAAAGCCATGGTTACAGGCATGCTCTTCAGTAACTGTCTCATCACATCACTCTTAGGAAAAAAGATACTGATGAATCTCTGGCAGAAAACAAGTGGGAATTTTCAAGTAGCAATGAAAAGAATTTCTGCAGGCAAAACCAAGCAATTCTGGCTGCTCAGGGATTTCATTCCAAAACCAGGATTTTCAATCAAAGGACTTACAAAGGAAGAGGATATGGAGAAACGTTGATGCTTCTATGCCTGTGTACTTTCACATACATTAGTAACAGGCATTAAAACCTGAGTAGAAGTGTGTGCCACGATCATCTGGTGCATGAAATTGGCCCTGCTTGTACATCCTCACCTGGAAAATCTCTGGCTGCTCCCTTACAACCCAAATACTGGTTTTGACCCATTTTTGCACTGAGAGTTTCTTTCTTAGCTCAAGGAGTGCAGCAGGAGCTGAGATCTTTGAGGAAGGTCATGTTCATGTGAAAAGTTAATAACAGTCACAAACATCAGCCAGTCCTCAAAATGCTACCACGCAGGAGGTAAATGTCAATCTCCTCATCCTGCATCCAGACAGGCTGAGACATGCAGGTTAAATGACTTGCCTGAGGCTGTGCAGCAGCTCAGCAGCAGAGCGAGAACTAAGGCACTTCATGGAGAAACACATGCTGCTCTTAAAAGGGATGACTGGGGTGTACTTGATCAGGGTTTGCTACTGCTTTGAGCTCAAAGGCAGAAAACAGCTTCATTTTTAATAAAAAAAACCGATTTAACAAATTTAAAAGGTTGCACACGCCGGTTCATGGATGAAGCAGCAGTTGTGGGGTGTTTCTAATTGCTGCTTTTTAATAGACATGAGTAAAATGCTGTTTAATTTGCTACTAAAAGTCGAGTCTTTGCCTCGTTGTATCTCCTGCTAGTGGCAATGACACACAGCTGATAAAACAGCAAAGGCAAGATTTCTCACTGGTGCAACAAGGAGCTTGCTGGCAGTACCACAGGGCAGGTGCTCAGCTAAGCTCAAGGGTCAGTTAAACATTCAGATATAAAACTTGTATTTTATAGGACAACATTGTCAATTCAACTGCAGCCCAAACATAAAACTGTAACAAACAAGCTTTCACAAAACCCAAGTCCCTATTAAAAATTTCTAAAGAAAGCAGAATTTTTAACAAATACTTTCCCCTTCAGATTCTGAAATGCAAATACTGTTATACCATAAAACTGGCTTTATAGACTTAAATACTTGTTCTGAGAAAAAATACTGTAAAGAACAGACAGTAAATGATGGACGGCTTTTTTCTCCCGTTTTAATAACTAAAACTGTCTTTGGAAAATACATTAATATATTTGTTTATGAACTAACAGCACTTTTTTAAAGAATCATGGTGATATAGCCTGCTATTTTTGCACATTACCTTTCCAAATATACCCAGTCTCTTAGGATCAATGAAGGGCTGTTTCAGAAGTGATCTGAAAGGATAAAAAAACGTTTCTTTTTTAATTTTGTCAAAGTAAAACAGTGGATTTTACTTTTTGAATATAGTATGTAAAGAATATTATTTGTGCATTAAGGAATTGCCATACATGGAGATCAGGTAGAAGAAGAAATTACATCCATACAAGTAGTACAGCACTGGGAAATGTGATTTGCTTCCTAATTCCTTTTTCATAAGGCAAACAGTTGGTGTTTGGCCAATCTCACCCAATTTAGATCTCTGAATTTAAGCATCTTGTCTAAATTATCCATTTACATCTGCTTTTCAGTTAATGGAGAGAAGAGAGATACCTTTAGCATTCCTACACATGTTGGAAACTTCTCTCATTCTGGGCAGGGTCATCCCTCAGAAATGCCAGGATTTTCCACTGACTAGAGCTTAAATGACTGGCTTTGATCAGGTGCCTAGCACCAGCTAAAGGAAGGTGAGATAAACGGAACTTCTTGAATCTCGATAATTATACAAATAATTAATTCTCTCATCAAGGCCATTAATCATCTGTGGTGAATTTCATACAGAAAAGCGAATAACCTGAGGGGAAATATCAGACACAGCTGCTTATTCATGGAATGGGTGAAGCACTGACCCCTTTCAAAAGAAGAAAAAATATCTGGCCTAAAGTCTGTCTTTCCCTGGGAAAACCCAGGAAAAATCCATCCAGACCTTGGTATGAGCCATTTTGACGCATGCACCCTGAGTCAGGAGTGTTGTCCAAGCTATGCATGACTACTCCACAGACAGAAATTACTCTTTTCTGCAGCTGGTAGAATCATATCAGTCTAAAAATGATAATGCAAATGAGAAATAACAGGCATTTGCCAAAATGCTCTCATTTCTACCACAGAGTTCTGGAGTAATTGCACAAAGCAAATTGAGTTCTAGTGGTCTAAATTAGAGCAATATTCTCTGGTATAGCCCTAAAATATTGTAACACAAATGTATTTACATGTTAATGTGGACAGCAAGAAATTTATCTGTGGAATATAGACAAATATGAATTAGCTCAGGTGGTATATTTGGATTGCACAGAGCAGGACAGCTCTATCAAAGAAAGCACCAATTCAAAGAAAACCCCAAAACCACCACTTTGATTTTTTACTTGCTCTTTGTAATGGAAGGATTAAAGTTTCAAAATTTGTAACAGCATTAAAACCCAAACATGAACAATGCAGATAAAACATTCTGGGCAGTTTTAGTCCAAGAGCTCATTCATCCAGGAGGAGGCAGGGTGAAAGACATGAAGAGTTTGCACATACGTACTCTACAGCTGCTATTTGGTCCTTCACTTCCACTGATCCTAAGCACCGATGGACCTCCTGTAGGATCTTGAGGCCTTGAAATCCACTCCCTCTGCCATCAAATCGAGCTACGATGACATTATCAGAGTTGACAAGCACTGAGTCCCAGTCAATGTGAAACTTATCTGTAACCAACTGGCTGCCTGGAGCTTCATCACTGCAAATACCAACACACCAGACACAAACGAAGACTATTGACAATGTGATGCACTGTGCCGAGCTCTGATATTTTATTTAGCCTGCGTGGCAGAGTTCAGTTGGTTATGCAACCCTGCTGAGCTACTGTCACTTCCATCAATACCATCCCATTAGGGCTGCAAGCCCTGCAGCAACAGAATTTCTTTAACTTTATAACCATTGTGCTGCGGTGCTGCCAGTACCTGAATACACTTTGCTGAAGGACACAGAAAATTAAAGCAGGTAGTGCTGCTTATAATAAAGTGAAGGAAAAATCCCCAAACAATATCACTAATGGCTAGCTCAGTTCTGGGAAGGCTCATGCAGAATTTGTAAAGTCTCACTGAACACACAATGAGGTAAATTCATTCAGCACCCTGATTACCATTTTGTAGGATATATAATACTATTAAGAAGGATGTCACCTGAGAAAACAAAAATAATTGCATTATTGTATTCTTGAATAGATTTTTTGAAATACAGTACAAAGAAGACTAAAGCATACACTGGAGAAAATTCTATTTTCTCCATCAAAATTCATATGAAGAAATGGATGCAGGCAGGAGTGATAAGTCTATTTTATGACAAAAAAAAAAAGGTGGTTTACAGCACAAAAGGTGAAATAGAATGGGAGAATGCAGTTTCTAGAAGAACAATAAGATTTTCCATTGAAGCCAAATACACTATTTTCCTTACGAAGAAAGTAAAATGTCAGTTTTAAAAGGGAAGTTTGTCATTATTTTCCCCCAAGATAAACACAGAATGAAAGAACAGGCTACCATGAAGTTGTACAAAATGCAAAATAGTTCTATGTAGGCTGCATCTGCCAGTGGAATGAAAATTAAAATGTAAAAGTGTCTGTGCTGGCTGTATGGAAATTAAATTGGATGGTCTGTGGGAATATCCTGTCTAAGGTGAAAGAAAGATGAAGACAGAAATTATTATTTTGCCAAATAGACTTATGTAAACCCTGGGGAGGAAAGAGAGATAAAATATCCTCCAATAAGTCCTGTCTTATAAATACAATAATGTGCCGATTCAGTATCTGGCTTGGGCTGTGGATAACACAGACCACCTTCAAGGTAATCACTCAGTTAATTAACAAGCATATGATGAGTGTGTGTGTTCTCAAGCTCAGTCAGACCTATCTATTCAGTTGCTATCTCATGTACTGAAATCAGGATTACTTGGTAACAGACTCAGCCACAATATGTTATGCTTGATTTACCATTATCTTGCACATCAGGTTTATACTTGCTTTATAAAAAGAAAAGAAGGGGTTTTTTTTGGTGTTCTTAACCAATTCAGTTGTGATTATACTAATTACTAACGTTGTGAAGCAATGAGTCTGGAAATACTGTCAAGTGAGCTCTGCAGAAAAGTATATACTCAGGAAGTATATAATCATTATTCTTTGCAATAAGGAGCAGTACAATACTCCCATATCTGCTCATTACCCAGAGTAAGATTTTCAGAAGCACTACACATTGACACAGATGTTTTCACAAAGTATTTATCATTACTTCCAATGAACCTCAGACCAGTTACAATTATTTGTAAATTATTCCAGCTTTCCACAATAATACATAGAAATATCCATGTTTGACTAGGTAACTTTCCAATAGATGAACACATTCCACACAAGCGAAAACATTGTGAGTCAGCCTGCTTTCCTCCCTTTAAATATGAGAACAAAACTAACACAGTGATCACATTTGATTTATACATGTTCTATATCTAGGTTATTCATACATCTGGTGGATATAGATATCTATGTTGTATTTGTAGACACTTAGGAATAGGAGAAGCACCATTACACTTATAAGCCCTCCTCTGAGCCAGAAATGGCTTAATACCAAAAAAGTGTTTTAAATCAAAGTGAATTCCTCCAATAAAAAAGGAACAACAAACAGAACCTCAGCAAGTCTCTCAGTGGGTGAGAACTGACAGTGTTGGTTTCTTAAGCTCCTTTTGGAGGTCATAGCTGGGCTATTTCTGGGCTCAGAGTTTAAATACTACATATTGTCCAGCCCTGCATGATGGATTATTTGATATATTGCTTTAGGAAGCAATTTTCCAGTGACTAGTTTATTTTTAAGAATGTCCATATAAATAGTCTGTGATAAACATTTAAAGTTATTTCCATTGAGGTACATATCAGAACTCCTATTAACAGCAAAAGGTCTCTTTACTCTTCAGCTGCCACTCTAAAGTGATGCTGAGCATCTGAGGTGTGCTTCTGTCCTCCACAGAGAGACAGCAAACACATATTTCCCAATATTTGCATTATGCCTATCTATATTTCTTAGAGTCTTTAATGGCTTGTTTTCAAAGCTGCACAGCAGATTCACTTTCCCACCCTATTGCCTCATCTTGCTATCAGTCCTGAGAGTGCATTCACTGGCAGAATAAACATGTTTGACTCTTTGTGCAAGGCCCAAAACATTCATCAGTGCAAATCCAGGTAAACCAACCCTTACTTATGACCAAAATATAAAAAAATAAGTAAACAAATAAAACTCCCTCAAATAACAGGACAATCTTTTCATTGATTCAGTTCTACAAAATCAACTTACACACTGGACAACTTTAAATGGCATTAAATAATAGATACTGATATTTAAGATATATTATCTACACATTTGAAGGAATGAGGTTAATTATGATCAAGGCAAAATAAAGAATGATTATCAGCTCTGATTTTATTACCCAGATTAAATGCCAGAGTCTTTACTTAATCATTTCCTGTGTGTTACCAAGAAGAGTATCTTCCAACTTTTTTAATGAGTCAGGTGAACCATAATGAGGAAATCAAGGATTTGAAATTTAAACTTTGATCTTAATTATATAGAAAAGAGATGGTAATCACTTTTTCAGGCAATTACCATGCAGCTCTCTAATATATAGTTACACTGTGTGTATTACATCAGAAGGAAACTGAGTGTGAAACATTATCAGTGGTTTAAGAGAACAAATGGAAGAAAGAAAAGTGTTTTAATCTATTTAACATTCTATGGGCTACTCATCACAATTCTAAAAAGAAAAAGAGTGCCAGCCAACATAACTGGTTTCTACATGAGATCTGTTAGACAGCCCAGCCATCCAGATGGACATAAATTTTACCACAGCAATACAATAACCTACTATTTGAGTACTGCAGCTTGCTTTGCAGCTGCTAATGGATGAATGTTCATGCAATCTTTATCCTGATGGTTACAGCAAAATCAGGTCCTGGTCCTTAAGCTGAGCTTAAGTATGTCTACATGGAACTGTACTCAGTTCACACACAGGTTTCACACCAGGAGGAGATTCCTTTGGTACAAGTTTCCTTCCAGGATTCAGCCTTAACACTCAGGCATCTGGGGGCCATGTGCTGGAAGTTCAAATTTACCTGCAGACATCCCTGCATGAACACTGAAGCCTTTTCATAGTCATGCACCTTTGAAATAGCTACTATCTTTCAGTGATTTGAAAAAAAAAAAAAAACCCAAGTAACAGATCACATCAAACATCACCTCCATAATAAAATCACTCATCACCTTCCTCCCTTCCTCCCTCTTTTCTCTTTTTCCTCTTAAAAGTGCAGTGTTACTGAGATGGGAAAGCAAACACCTCTTCTCTGCTAATACTCCACTTTTCTGTTCTTGTATCTTCTGGATTTCTATTTCTAAGTGCATGTTCCCTGGATCAAGATGTTTCACATAATCTCCTTTCCAAAAAATGGACATACAATTAAACCAACATTCTTACCAAGGACATTGATAAACACTCATTTTCAAAGGTTATTCTCTCAATAGCTGGAATATAATGATAATCATACCATGGCTGAGAATGGAAGAAGGAAAGCAGGGGCAGCTGAACAGAGGAAAAGACAGCACTTGTTATCAGCCCCCAGTTCTCATCTAACACTGGTGGCAGTAGGAACAGGGTGTTTCTCCATCAGCCCCAACAGTACCACTCTGGGACTCAGGAAAGTCAAGTATCTGGGAAATGATACCATCTACACAACTCATCAATGTTCCCTATAAAAGCTACATGCTCTCTTTGGACCTAAATACTTTTCTCTTTTTTTCTGAAAGTAGTACTTCTGATCATGAAATAAACTTTAGGATGTCAATTTGGAGCTGTGTAGGTCAAGAAATTACCCCCTACACACCCACAGATATCCAACAGTTCTTTCTCAGGAGCTAGACAGAATTTATTAGGCTCAAATAATCATCCCATAAGGGAAACTCTCATAACTTCAGTGACAGTTTGCAGTTTTATATTTCATTTGGGGACCTCTTTAATAGAAAAAGGAATTGCTGGCAACCTTAGCTTTAAGTCTGTAAAAAGCTGCTGAAGAAATACAGCTTAATGTAACTTCTTTTTCTTCTAGGGAAAAGGAGGACACAAAACATGCTACAGTGCATGAGCCAGGACAGATTTAAACTTTTCAGTTTCATACTTTCACTAGCGTATAGGGTTTTCTAAAAATAATCCCTGTTAAAGCTAATGATGAGAATTCAGTATTGCAAAGAATCTGACCTAAAAGAAACAAAGTCTCCATACAATAAATGTAGATACAACTATTTATATTTATAAATTGACGACTTTCCTTGTTATCTCACATGCCTATCATAAAAAAAACCCAAACCAATTATAAACCATAACCATACATCATGACTTGGCCACATTATTTGCTCACTGGGTAGCAACAACTTTGGTAAGTTTAAATTCAGAGCCTGACTCGACACTCACTTCTTTCAACTCTTGGTATCGAAAAACAATTCAAAATAATATTTTTTACCTTTTCCTTTTTTTTCTCTTTTTCTGTGATTTCCTGGCCTTGGACTTGTCAGGTTTCTGATCTTTCCCTTCTGTCTTCTCTAGGTTCTACATGAGTTTATAACCCCATATTTTCCCACAGCTGTGTATGGCAGATTATGCATTTTTCTGGGATACTTGAAAAGGGAAGAGTTGCACTGCTTACACCTTCGTGTTTCCCTGCTCTCAGAAACAGGAATAAGCACAAGTCCCTGCAGTGCTGCTGGGGTCAACTCACAGAGTCAGTTTGCCTTTGGCACTCATATAAGAGCTGCTTAAAATATAATCATGCCTCCAAGATCAGGCTGCAAAGATGAAATAAAATCCATGTGTCCTGTTTCTCCACAAGGGAAGACAAATCTGTTCGTGAGCCAATTAAAGGAGAGAGCTTCCACAACTGCAGATAATTACAACTGAAAATTCTGAGTTCTAAAACACAAACTGGGCTTAGAAATAAGCAGGTTTGTGCCTTTCTGTCCTGTTATCTGATCTGAGCAGGGGAATTTGGGATCATTCAGCAGCTCAGGTCTGTAAACACCTCACATCCAACAATGAGGATTTGTGCTGTCACTGAGGGGAGATCTGCTCCAGGTGACACAGCTCAGTAACGTGGCATTTTCATCAACTTAGCAGCACACATCTACATTTTACTGAAATTCACATCAATTTTTTCCAGCTGGGACTGGAAGGAGCTCTGTAGGTCCAGGAAAGCTCTCTCCACCCATGCTGAGTTCAGGTGGAGACGGGAGTGATGCCCTGGCCACACTTTCCCAGGTAGGCTCCAGGCACTCTCATGACTCTGTTCTTTTCCTCTGCTACACATGTGCAGATAAAACTTAAAGGCTGACTCTCCCAGCAAGAACACACACTCCATCTCCTTTTAAAGGAACAGCATGGGTTTCCAGGGAATACCATTCTCCTCCCATGCAGCTTTTCTACAAAAATCCACGGACTCTGGATGATGACTATCATGCCTTCAACCACCGAAGATCAAAAGTAACTTTTATTTCATTCTGGAATTCCTAAAAGCAGTTTTATGCATCTCAACTGAGCCCCTTCTGGAAGGTCTACTCATTTCTCTCAGGGATAAAAAGGAGCACATGCTCTGAGGGAGATGCTCTGTGGGCAGGATCAGTAAGAGTCCAGGAATCACTGCAGGACTACTCAAAGCTACACCATCAGAAACGCCAGTGCCTCCCAAACATGAAAGTACAGCAAAGCACAGTCAGGTTTGACTAGCACAAAAAACCCCAGGCATCTCTATCAGACAGCACCTGTCACAAAATCTTCCCAAGATCAAGCGTTTTGATTTCTCAACTGAAATCCATGAGATTTTTTTTCTACAAAAGGTAAAAACCCAAGAAACAAAAAAAAACACCATCTTCATTTCAGATCTAAATATTTTCTACAAAACACTTTTTATTATTTTGAGTGATTCCAAGCAGATACTTACATTATTAATAGAAGGGCATACTGGTTTCGATCCGTGAAATCTTTTGGCAGTGACAACTGTAAAGGGAATTCTTTTAAGAAAAGAGCAAAACATTAAAGGCTGGTAGTTACACAGATGAAAAACAGCAACATTGAAACAAAACTTTTGGCTTGCTAAAGTAGCATTTTGCCAGATTTACCGTAATCCTCAATGTGAAGCATTTTGATTTCAGTCTTGTAATTCTTTTTCTTAAGAGCAACTTCTTTCAACACAGGGTTATTTTCCAAAATATAAAACTCTAGAAAGCAGGAAGAAAAAGCATGTTGAAAGGTATGGAAAATCATCACACCCAAGATACACCAAGATTCAAAAAAAATTTTAAAAAAGGACAAATGTGCAATGATCTTGCAAATTAATCTTGAAATTAATCTTGTAAATTAATTCCTTTTGTAAATACTTTTTTTATAATGCAGCTACTTTTCAATTCAAAAAGATGCACATCCAGTTCATTTTTCTGGCTTTGGAGGGCTTTGTTTTCATTATGCAGAACCAAAGAAATTCCTGATGAACAACATGAACATCAGCATCTCTGACAAATCCTAACAGCAGCTGCAACAGCACAAGGCTGCTCTTCTGGGCAACATCCAAAGCCTCATGCAGGCATCTTCTTCCCCAATATTACCTATTCCAATGCAATATTTAGCCAGCACAGCTAAACGTGGTCACTGCATGCCCTTATTTGTCTTCTGCACTCCAGCCAAGAACATTACTATCAGCTTGGTTTAAAGCTGCAGACTAATTTGATGCAACCCTTTTACACATGAAAGAATGGCTAATTTGTTGTGGTTTTTTGTTGTTTTTTTATTTTTTTTTTAACTCAAATTACCGATCTTGCTTCCAAAATTTAGATTTTTTAAAATTAAATAATAAACTCTTCACTTAGGGCCAAAACAGATAATCTGAGGAGAATGCTTGTTCTGGGCAGTCAACCAAAATGGTATAATTATAGTCTGAGGATAGAATAATTGAAATAATCCTTAATCATTCCTTTATGAATTGAAGAGGATAATCTCATCTTGCACTGAAGCACTAATGGTAAATTATCTCTCTTATTATTTGGTTTTTTGTTGTTACAACAAACAACGTCCCTCTATCCTGACTTGCTTTATTTTACTCTAAGGTGCTGCACATAAATCTCAATTTCAGTAATTCACACTCCATAGCACTTTAGATGCAGGTAATAAAGAGCAAAAGCCTGCCTACACAGAAATGAGGAGTACCACAGAAGTCTAAAACACATTTATTTGAGCAATAGCTCCCCTTTACTGAGCTGGATAAAACTCCCTGCCCTGGGTGTGCTGTGGAACTGGGCTTTGCAAACAAAAACAATGGCATTAAAAAAAAAAGGAAAAACCAAAAAAACCCCAAAAACTAAAGTGCAGATATTAATTAACACTTCTCAGCATGGCACTGTTAATTAGGATGGTACTTCAACATGCAAGATTAACTCCACTGAACAGTGACTGGCCCAGGACAAAGGGGATGCACACAGGTACAGTTCAGGATTCCTGGATTCTGGGAAAAATCCTGAGGATAATCCAGTTAATGAAATGAGGATATGTAAGAGTTGGTTTAGTGTTTTTGAGTGAAAAGCTGTCCCCCATTCCTATAACCCACACCTCCATGCTAGTGGAGTCACAGTGGAGCTGCAGGTGACAGAGTTGTTACCTCTGCTTCACCACCAGGAAAATTCAACTGCTGAAGGACAGTCTTCCACTAAAAAGCACCTCAGCAGCCAAGAAACAGTAAATATTGGCATCAGTATGCAAGAAAATAATGAGTAAAATTTGACAAATAGAGGTATAGGATACCTTCCTAAAAAGACTTTATTATTGGATTTGTCTTCATTGAAAATGTCAGTGGAGTTGTTCTGGTTTGAGAAATAGAAGAGAAGGACTAAACACCATATGTAGGTCAGCTTTTATGATCAATCATCCTAGGATTGCACCTGACGTCAACATAATTGGATTGCAACTTTAAAAACATCTCTAAAAACACAGCAGCCTGATCTACTTAGGAAGTGAAAGGGATGAAGACCAACCTGCCATCTAAGTTACTTAAGTGTAAACAGAAGATGAGTCACATGCATTTAGTCCAAATGCAGACATCTAAAAATCTGAAAAAGTTTTAGCATTCACTGCTTTCCTTACCATTTGCTGATGTGGATGTTGCTTAAAAGGTAATTAGTAGCACTTTATATGAATTAGTTTTCACGTACTTGCATGACATTTTCATGTGCTTTGTCTCCCTTCTCCCACACTCCCCAATGAAATTAGTGATGATAAGAAAACTTATTTCATAAGGTATACTCACTTTCAGTATTACTTGTCCTGTGCACACTTACAACTGGAACACCTGGTCCTATTTAGAGGAGAGGAGAAAAACAGAGGAAGGGTGAGGTAGCTCAGTGACAAAGACTGGGAGCACCAGTTACCACAAAAGACAGGATCCTGGAAGCTCCATACACACAATTCCATTCAAGCACAGCAGGAACTCCACTGGTACCTCTTGGAAATGACACTGGCTGGGCTACAGTTCCAACAAAGTTTGAAACAGACACTGCGTTCTGCCTGCTCAGCAGCCCAGACCCTGCATCCAGAAAGAGCATTCTTTTTTTTTCTTTAACAATCTCCACGTTTTAGTTTTAAGTCATGACTAAAAAAATTATGGATGCACTAACCGGAACTGTTTAAAATATAGCAGTTGGACAAGTTGACTGGGAAATGAATTAATGATAATATGCACTTATTTTCTCTATGTAAAAGCTATAGATGTGTTGAAAAAATATATTTCACATTATTATCTTTTTAAGAAGTTCCCTTGGTAAGCCAACTCTGCAAAACCAACAGCATCACAGTTAAATCTAGGTGTCCTATTTCACATACTTTATTTTCACTGCACCACTAAGAAACTAAAAACAAGGAATAATTCTTCATGCCAACAGCTACAAGGTGGCATGGGAAACTGGCATGATCAAGCATTCAGCATACTCAGAAGTGTCTCAGTCTGTTGTCCCTGCTCTGAAGATCCCCATCAGCGTAAACCTGCAAAAGAAAATCTTGTGTCCCCATCCCCAACATGGAATTTACACATCAGAAGCTCTGTGTTACTTCAATGCTTAAATTACCAGCATTCAGTCACTATTGGGTGATGAAGAACAACAGAAAAAAGCTGAAGTCCCTGAGGACCCCATGGCAGATGAAGGCATGGACCCTTTCAAATTAGGAGTTACAACTCACTTTTTGAGAAAAAAAACCAAAACCAATTCCCTTTGAGAGTGAAGAGACAGAGCTTAATTTATGTGTTTTGAGAGGTTGTCTCTCTCAATTAATTATGGCATGAGCCTAGGGAAATGCAAATACCTGAAATAAATAGCATGATGACATTCACAGCCTTCACTGAAGATTTTTGTCAGTTTCATTCTCTCCCTCAAGGGGGACGATTGACAAAAATCTTACAGGTAGATGGTTGACAAATCACAGCCTTCTACCTTAGCTCTCTAAGAAAATAATTTCATAAGATGTCTCTTTTGCTTTGGTTTGTTTTATTTCCAGTTCTTTTTTCTTCTGAATTTGTCATTTTGCTTCCAATTCTTATTTAAGAAAGATCATTTCTGAGCAGGGAAACACCAGCATTTTCCAACCTATCTCTATTTGTCATACTAAAAGATGGAAGGATGACGACATTTTGAAAAAAGGGACATTGCAGTGGATTAAAACGTTGATCAGAGGGGAAAAAAAGGACAAATTTGTGTCACAGGCATTGTGTTACAGTGCATCAGAACAAAGCACAACACTTGGATTTCCCATTGACCTCCTATCAGAACCTCAAACCCACAGCTTATTTCCTGCTATATAAAAGGGGAGAAACAATCACTTCCTTTCTAAACTGTCTTATTTGAGTGGACAGAAAAACATCTTGCTAGTGTTTGTGAAGTGCCAAAGGAAAAATCCCCAAGAAAATGAGTGCAAAGGATGTGTTTGCCAAAACTGAGAGGCCCAGGATTCAGTCCTCCATCTACCAGGCAAGAAATAACTCCTCACTCAGGAGAGTCTCTGGAGATGGATACAGCAGGTAAAATGAGAGAGATCTCCTGGCTGAGGGAAACTAAGAAGGAAAAACAATCCTAATAAAGGTGCTTGTGGGTGAACAGGAGGTTGAAGAATTGCAACTCATACAGATAGAACCAGTCCAGAGTACCCCAAGGGTTTTTCTGGGCAAATTGCTTTTGTCACAATTGGGTGAAGGCTTTTTGCTGTGGGAAAATGAGTGTGAATGCACACAGCAGACATGCCATTTATCTCCTCAAAGCAGTTTGCTCAAACTCTCACAAGCAGAAGTTTTGATGCCAGTTCTGTGGTGACCTTGCCACCAGTGTTGACATTGCCAAATGTCCAACCCAGCCCAGGGCCCTGGCACTCTACAGGGGCCACATTCTGCTGTACCTGCCAGGCTCTGAGGAAACACAGCAGAAGACCCTGAAAAACTCCCGGCCAGCATTAACTCTACATTAATGTTAGAGGCAGGAAAAATTAACGACAGTGGTTTAGCAACCCTGCCCAACATCTACTGCAACCCAGTGGAGTGTAGGTTTAATCCAGGAAGGATGATCTACAGCCTTCCCAGCTCAACCAGAGAACTGCCAAAGTCACTGAAAGTCGTGAGCTTGTGAGTAATCACATGCACAACCTCCTACTGGCATCCACATTTTTATACCAAAGAAGCACATTAAAAATTACAGGCTGAATATATTTTGCTAAAATAGTAACAAGATGCTTTTGGACCCCAGCACATTGCTGATTCAGGGCAAAAATCTTTTCTCAATTTATCAACCCTCTCTCCTGCAAGAATCTGAGATATATCCCATAGGGACTATGTCAAGCACAAGGGAAAACTCTGCTCAAAGCATGAGGAGCTCATTACTCAGAGAAGGACCTCAAGATTAACTCCATCATTTCTGCTGCAGATTTAACCACTTATAAATCACACAGTTTGTACATTCTTCTTCTAATCAGCTGTACTGTAGGTGCATTTCCACAAAAAAACAACCCAAAACAACAAAACCAAAAACAAATCCCTTATTTTAGCCAATATATATTCATAGTTTCCTTGTTTGGATGCATTCAATGCTCAAGTCAGCAGGTATTTTATTTTTGTGTGGGGAAAAAAATAGTAGAGTTGTAAAAGAAAGAGAGAAAAAGCATGAATGTAAAATGAGCTATTTATATGTATTTCAGATGAATTGTCATCTGCTCTTTGCACTCTGATCCTAGCTATTAAAAAAATGCTGGGGGATAGTGTCTGTAAAATTTTTCAAGTTTCAAGGACAACAGGTCTAACTATGTACTTTATTATGTATTGGCTCATGCTTTTCTGAACCTTTTTTATCACTTATATATCAGTGTTTATTTCCTGTGTGTAGGTTATAACTTTCTCTGTGTGGGATGGTTTAATTTTTTTGTTTATACAGAAATTCTGAAGCCAGCTGGTGCCATGTAGTGCTACTGGAATGCAGCTAACAGTAAAACACTGTGAGTTATTTATTACAATTGCACTGATATAGAGGATCTGTCTCTGGGGATTAAACCACAGCTGTTTTTTGGTAGATACACCCATACACATAATTATGGGGATGTACAGATACACAGCACATACATGTGTACAAACACTGCTAGAGAACACAGACTCTCATTTTTTAACTAGGTATAGTCACACAAGACCAATCCCAATATATAAAATAATAAACTGTTACAAGCCACAGTACCATCACCAAAATCCTGAATTTTTTGGTGAAGGATTTCTATTTAGGGTCAATGTTAGTTGATGTCCTTTACTTGGACAGAGGGGTCAGGATTGGAGCAGTGTTCTGACATCACTCATAATTTAGCAGAACATCTTTAATTTAATAATTTCACAGAACATCTTAACTTGCAGTCTTAGAATGAGCTCTGTACAGAACTTTGAATAATCCACTGCTGACCTCAATGTTAGAGTCCAGCCTAATGCCCTTCCCAAGGAATACATTAATTCAGAAGCCAGCAGCATTGCACCCTGTGCATTTGCTCACCTTTACAGTGCAGGAGAAAATGCCTGTTCATGGGGCTGAACTTGGCACTGAAGTAGGTGCATTGCTCCTTCTGGAAGTCACATGAGAGACACTGACGGTTCAGTGACCCCACTGTTGATACACTGGGGGAAGAAAATGATCAGAAACATTTTATATTGGAATAAAATACAACAAAGTAACCTTGGCTATGTAGACAGGATACAAAAGCTGCCCAAAGCACCACTGGCACTGCAATAACTCACAGCATTAGTAGGAAATCATAAAAACCCCACTAGCCTCAGGTTTAAGCACTGAAAATAAGGTGATTTTCCCCCACACTTTAAATAACATGATTAAACCCTATAAATATTTTTATTTAGTAAAACACAGTCATGTTAAATGCTTGTATTTAGGTTTAAATTTTAGATGATTATAAAGGACTAGTGAAGATCTATGGTAAGTACATTTTTTGTTAGAAACTTTTCTATTTTTTAGAAAATGGCAATTTTAATTTTGAAAAGCTGTGGCAGTTTCTTTGTTACAGCTCAAGCATACTAATTTTTACACAATGTAAATGATTACCCAAGCACATAGCACTTATGGCTTGGGATGAAGAAGCTGATAAAACAGCCCCATGTAGCTCTTACCTGTGCAGCTGTCTTCCTCTTGGGGACTCTTCAGTGCTTAAGAAATAACTGTGTCCAAAAGAGAAAAAAGTTAAAACTCAGTTTGGTAAAATGTCTGATTTGGGTAGTGTTTAGAGAAGTGAGAGACACCATAAGAAACATTTTTAAAAATTAAAAATTCACAAATATCCATGAAGATCAAATACTTCTATATAAGCCCAAGTTCCAAGATTAAACTTAGATCCAATATACAGATTAGTTATTTCAGAAGCTATACAATTTCCTGTTAAAACCACGATGAAAACAGGATTTCATTATTTTAATTCCTGTGATGCCCAGGAGCTCCAGTAGCAACCAGGACACCTCTCTGCATATTAAAAACACAGAAGAGAAAGTTCCTGCTTCACTCCAAGAGTTTGCAATATAAACCCAAATACAGATAAAGGTCACAATGAAATTATGTCATATATTAAAATAAGTCTTATGAGATCTGAAAGCCTTTTTGAGCCGTAAACCAACTTTTTCTTCTATCTGCTTTGCATGGGTGGAAAGAGACTTTGCAAGAAGCCCAAGACAAGCCCTTGGTGTTTCCCTGATGAGAGCCCCACAAAGCCTCTGCTTGACAGGCAGAAGGAAGCCAAGGCAGTCCCTCAAGTGGCTGAAACAGCCCGTGTGACATCTGTCACCTCTCTGCAGCCTGACTGCACCCAGACCTCATTTCTACTCCTGGGCCTTGCAGAAGTACCAGGAAATTCTCTATGGATATATTTTCAAAACCCATAGAAATACTTGTAAAAAAAAAGGTTTTCCTCCAGTACCAATGGAAAAGATGGGGCTTCTTGCAGCCTCAATAAAGTTCTCGTTGAAATATTATTTATTTTAAAGCAAATGAGAACTAAATATGCTTGTGTATTTTTTGCCATGGACAGATAGAAGTGAAAATTAAACGACATCCACTGAAGTCAGGTGAAACCTTCAGACATTTTGTGTTAGTTCTAAACTCCTCCCCAAAAGCACCAAATATGCATTTTATCCACTCTCTCACTAAGATGAGCTGTGGAAAGAGTTCTCTGTGGGTAAGAATCAGAAGCTCTGATAATATCTACAAATAATCTGAATTTATGAAGTTGGATCAGATCCCCAAAACTCTGAGACCTCATGCAGTAAAGGTGTGATGTTTTATCAAGTACTAAAAATTTATTATGACTTCTTATCTGGATTCCAGGAAAGAAATTACCAAAATGTTATTACTGCTGCACTGTGTGTTGATTCCTTCTATTCTGAAAAATACAGAGTCAAGTGATATTACAGTGTGATTCTCTCCCTCTGCATAAAAAGCATTTAGGAAAAGAATGGCAGATGAATTGTCTTAAAACTGCACCTTATGTACTCAGGTGTGTCAAAGTTATGGTAATACTCCAAAATGAAAGAAATATTACTGTTTAATTTTGAGTTTAATGGATTCAGCTTTAATAACTTGAATATTTTTATTAAAAAAGGGAACAGTGCTTACATGTTTTGAGTATTTTCATCATATGCCAGGATTTTGATAACTTCCCAGTTCCCTGAAGTCAGGTGTCTCACACTGATTTGTTCACTTTTGGCCTGTTGAGAGACGGAAAACATTAACTTTCACCTTGCTACATTCTTCTTTGCCTGGCAGGATTGCCTGCACATGTCATTACTGATGACAGCTTTTTAAACTTTAATATGCAACATACCATCTTTAAAGCACAAACCTAATAAACTTTTTGACAGACCTGAACTTCACTTATCCTTTCCCTCCTGTCTATAAGCCTTTTAAAGTCATTAAAATAATCTTTGTTTTCAGCACAATTTTTCTTTCAGCTGCCCCCATGTCAATAAGTAATAGAAGCCAGGAAGCAATGCAGGTAAAAACAACCCTTTGGCTGGAAGTTGAAGCAGACTCTTCATCAGACACAAGTTAAAATAAAAAGAACCTAAGTGAGAAGCTTATCTGAGTGCAAAAGCTAAAATCATGGCTCAGGCTATTGAAGATTAAAACTGAAAACCTCACAGCTTGGACATACTTTTTGTGGATTTTTCTATTATTAGGGTTATTATGCTTGGCATGGATATACATATTCTTAGTTTTCAAATTCAAGACAAAATTTATAAAGAACATAGATGTCTCAGAGGTGATACTCAGGGGTTACAAGGCCTACAAAAAGTCATAAAAGCAAAAAGGTTGGCCTTTTTTTAATCCATGTATTTCTGACCTGTGCCCTGAGCTTCACATCAACAGCAGCAATAACTACAAAGAAGCAAATGCTCAAAGATACCCTATGTGACACGCTGGGAGCTGGCAAGGCAGAACCAAGCCCCTTGGAACTGATTTGTTTCCTAACAGATCCACAAGGAAAAAATGACATAGCAAGTCTATGACAAGTCTGGCAAATATCAAATGAATTCAGGAGATTGTGCTAGGTGCTGTACATGTGTTTATGATGAGGGCTCCCTGTTCAGGAAGATTCTGATATTCAATGGTGTCTCCAGGAATGATTAAAATACATATTAGTGATTTATTGTAAGTGACTATTTCTTCTTTAGAGAGAGAGAAGCTGCAACTACTGAAATAGATATTTAAGTATTAAGATCACAGAATCTAACAAGAAAGAGCAATAAAAAGCGTAGCCAAGCGTTAATAAACATGGTTATTTTTCAAGGTTACAGCCATAATACATAATTTATGAAGCTTGAAGAAAGTTATCCCCTTGATCCATTAAAGTTTCTTTATAATTCTTATTTTGTGGTTGGAAAAAAAGAGATTTTCTAGAGTTGCAAAGCTCCATGAAAGAAATGTCTAGATACATTAGACATGATTCAATACCATTTTGAGATTAGTTTCTTTTAAATATTTCATAAGTTACTAAAAGCATTTGAAAACAATAAACCACAAATCCAGCCCTCTCCATTCATACAGTAAATAATCTGTGACAGACAGTAACCTTTCAGACAGTAACTCCTCCCTGAATAAAGATTTAATTAGATGTCTCTGCTAACGTGCTTTGTGTCATTGACACATGCTTTTCTGAAGTGCAGTCAAAGAAATGCAGCCTGAAAAACACCAGAATTTGTTGTAAGATTGAGAAATCAGCCTCAGTGATTAAATCAAAGCAAGCCATTAAAATTTCCTTCTTTATTCCTGCAAGTCCACATTGGTTGTTTTAACTTTCCTGCACATGAAAGCTGATTTCTGTCACTGGGCTGATATCCCCACTGAGGGGCACCAGAGCAGGAATGAGAATCCCAGTGCCAAATTCCAGAGTTACCCTTTTGCACCCCAGAAATGCTGTGAACATCTGGGCACTGGTGATCTGCTGACAGCTTTAAATTCTGCAGGGCACCTGCTGTGCTGCTGTGGCTCTCACAAGGTGTGACAAACATCTAATGTGACAAAGGGCTTTATGTGCAACGCTTAATATACTTTTTATACCTCTATGTTTGCTTTAGAAATAATGGACAATCAGATTAATGCAGTGTGTAAAACACATCATATAAACATATTTCCTGCCCTTTACTGCTCTGTATCAGCCCCATTACCACGCAGAATGTTGCTTACTGATGAATAATGGCTGATATCACATGGGATATCACATTTCCTTTTTCTCAGGAGCAGCTACATGCTTAAAGCCAAATTTGTCATTGGTGATGCCATTCAGATTTGTTTATTCATGTTGATGGCAGGCAAAATAGAAGTATTTTCTAGTTTTGGAGCTGTGCAGTACTCAGGGCTTTAATTCTGCCTAAAAGGAACAGAATACTAAATTCTGAAACATAAGCTTGACTTTTAACATTATTCTGCTGGAATTAAAGGTGTTTAAAAGTAGGCATGTATTATCTTACTGAATAGGAGTGGGCTTGATCTTTGCTTAAACATTTTCCTGAATTAGAATCAAGTTTCCTGGACTTTTCAGTAGCAAGAAATGTCAGAGCCTACAAGGTTAAGGCAAACTTGACAGTATCTGCAACATCCTTGGGAATGTTGCAAGTGAACTTTCAGATCCAGATCATTATTATTTCATGTATTTTAAAGGTACTTATTCACACTGTGGAAGATACCAAAATAAGGCTTGACTGATGTGCTGGTTTTGCATTGGAGCCACCCACAGAAATGATTTTTTCTGTGAGGGGCTGCTGAGAGCTTCCTCTGTGCCTAGCAAAACCAGTTGCTGGCTAGCTTTGAGAATAAGCATGCTAATAAGCCAATTAAAAACTAGCTTCACCTCTGTGAGATTCACAATTTAAAACAAACAAGCACTGGGAATTCTCTCATTTCCTTCCAGCCTGGAAACGTAACAAGGCCGGCCCAGCTTTCTTTCAGTTACTGTTAATAATGTTTTGAGCCTGCTTTGCCTTCCTCCTAATCGTATCTCACAGCAGGAAATGAGGAAGTATATTCCAGTGGGTGCACTGGCCAGACCCACCACAACTGACTAAAGGGTTTTGCTCAGGTGCTAATTTTTATATGTATTTATATCAATAAATACACCTTTACCAGTCTGTCATCTGAGTTACTGTTTTCTTTAGGAAACAGAATTTGACATGGCTGTGATCCCTTTTATCTTCACTGACTCTTTCCTGATATATTTACTCTGGTGAATGAGAATCTTTGTTCTTGTTTCTTCAGGTTAAACTGTCATTAGAGTTCTTTTGTTCTTGTTCTGTCTGCAGTGCACTGTGAACATATTTCAGACTTAATAATGTTCATACCAGAACACTGTCATAAAGGCAGATAACAAGAGCTGCCTGGCACAAATCTGCTATTTTGATGTTTGGGTACCTTGGTAATCCCTCCTAGGGCATATGGCTCTGCTAAAGCACCTGGATTAATGCTCTGATGATTTAAATAGATGCCTTGGAGGGTTCCGTTCCAGGGCATAATTTCCTTTATTAGTTCATCACAACTTCATACTGGTGACCTTCAAAGTCACACTGCAAATTTATCTTCTTTCAGATTCTTCTTTGGAAAAAGTAATGACCCTGGGAAATGGAAGCCACTGAAAAATATTGCAAAGGGTAATAAAAGAGCTCTAACTTTCACAAAAGTTTTAAGTTTGGGTATTGCCTCCCTTTACTGTTCTGTAAGAGAAGATTCTGAATAGACATTTAAAATTATTTGTTATTGAAAAATATGCATGTATAGTGTATTTGGAGAAGGTAAAATTAGTTTTTATTCTGGAAGAAGTTATAAATACATTCCACTGTGCTGAGAGACAAGCTGGACAGGACAAATGACCATGACAGAAGTGTTCTGATTAAACTGAATTTCAGTTAAAAAGGCCCAGATAAGCAGTAGGATATCATAAACAGCCTGACCAGAGCCTTACCTGCACAATGAACATGGCTATGTGGTGGAACTCACCACGGCCACCCTGCTTCACTGGCACGGTCATGAAGAACTTACTGCCATCCTTGGAGAAAACAGGCTCCTCATTCTGTAAGTGTAACATTGTGTTAGTCAGGCACACATTTCTTAACAAAAGATCAGCCTCAATTTTTTTGTCTACTTGGTTTTGCTGTGCTCAGAAGTCAGTTGGAGAAGACATTCTTAGGTTTTAAGTATATTCTGTTAAGTTTAACAAAAACGTGGCAGCTAAAGCTGAATATGGTTCAGGCAATGTGCAATTCTGTCCTAAAGGGTGTTTGGAATATTACAGCCCTTGCAGAACTCTCCCTCACAATAACCTCTGGTAATTACCTCTGGTAATCTCATTCCTAAAACAGGGAGACTTTCCAGGACAGTGTCCTTTACAGACATACAAATAATGGCAGAGATAACTCCTACTGCTGAGGAGGAGAAGAAAAGTTTCAATGGTTTGGACTCACTGAGTACATGCTTAACACCCACTGATTTTGATAAAGTTGTATGGAAAAAATAACGACATTGAATTGATATTCTGAATCAGGGTTTTACCACAAACTGTAGCCTGATGTGATACCATCTCTCCATGTCTAGCTTTGCACAGAAGTATTAAAGGAAATGGCTTGCTATAAAAGCATAGGAGCTTTTTTTGTTAAAATGATTTCTCATTTGCACATTGCAAAATGAAGCCTGAAATGTAGTTTAAATGGAATGTGTTTTATCCAGTTATTGGACAGTTCTGAAGCTATGAAAGTGGAATAATTGGCTGACATATTAGTTAAACATATTGTTCTGGGTATGAATTTAGAAATACTTTACTTTCTCATTCCAATTATAGCCCATATGACCTCTAATCTTTGAACTCCTGCTTTAATTTGGTGAGATCATTTTTAAATCAGAAACAAATCACAGTAAGTAGGACATGCCTGGAATGAGATTCATCTGGTCTGTCTTCCACCACCCCAGACTTGGGTAGTTAATCAGCTGTTCATCTAAATGCTTACTGAACTGAATCCAGACAGAGCAGAAACTGAAGGGAATATTGCCTCCAAAACCCTCAGAGGTGTCTCAGGATTTTATTAGCTTATAAAATAACACACAGTTAAATAAAAATGACAATGAAGCAATTATGCATTATGCACCCAGAAATAGCATTTCTACTGTACCTGTTTAGGGAGCCACAGATCTGACTGCATTTCATATTTCTAAAAGAGAAAAAAATAGGAAAAAATTGGTTTTATGGAATAGATAGTGATAAAAATATTTCCCATATTCAGCAAAAGGTCTCTAACTATTTAATGGGTTTTTTTTCTACAATGTTACAATCTCCTCATCTCTTTGCTGGCACTTGCATTGAAACAAATGATAATTTAATTACAAAGTCAGCTGCTTTATTCAAATTTTTGGTAGAACATCACAGGGGAACTAAGAATCCCATTTCAGTCCTTTCTGATTAGCTATCAAGAAGCTTTTCGTAGGCAGCTCTATTTGTTTTTTACCTCCAGGCATCATCTGACAACTGGATATTTTAAGTCCTTCATCAACATTGGGCAAACAGCCAGAATCAAGATCAAATTGTGAGACCTTTTCAAATCACAATCCTGTGCCTTAATGGCTTGTAGTGTGGCATTAGTGATGAGAAAAAAAAATAAAAAACAAATTATTGAGTTTTATTGCTCATATTCATGTTTCACATGATGTCATTTGAAAACAAAAAACCAAACCAATAAAACAACCAAATATCATACACACATTGTTGAAAAAAAAAATATAATACACATTAACTGTTGCAAATTGTGATAGTCACAGGGAAGTAATGAAAATTTAGTAGCTATAGAAGAATCTGTACATATACAGCCTCAAAAATGAAAATTTGTAGCTATTGCAGCAGCTGCTTTTATACATTCCTTTTTGAAACTGAGGACGTGTGCAACATCCTAGAGAGAAAAAAAAGGTTTACAGCTGAAATCAAATGGTGTGATACAATGTTAAATTCTCACATTTAGCCTTTCCACATCCATTGATGATTTCAAGAGCATCACCCTATCCCAGAGGGCGCAGTGCAGGGACCCTCCAGGATGAGCCAGGCCTGGGCTGTGCTCACAACAGTGAGAGTGCAACACTATCCTTCCTCAGCCCCCTAAAAATGTCCTTTGCTGCACTGTAAGCATTCTGGAGTGGGACTTCTCAGTCTGTCTCTCTTCCATTATGTCCTGGATTACAGCTCCCTGGGTACCCCCTTCCCACAAATCCAATTGACCTTGGAGCATATAAAGGTTTCCCTCTCAGAAGCAGCTGCAGTGGTTCAGGACCAACTTTCTTAATAAAAAGACAAAAAGCTCACAGGAACCAAATCTCAATGGTCACAATCTTAATCCATACTTTGGGGATTCATTCACAGTTTCTGAGTGAGGAAAAACACCCTGTAGTAGTCAGCAGAAGAAGATGAGCTTGGAAATAATCTCTGACACTTCAATATGACTGACTTCAGCAGCAGACACTGATGGGAGCCTTTTGACTCAGAGGCCAACATTAATCACTCATAACCATTTAAACTGCCAAATTATACCCTCTGCTTTGGAGCATCTGTTGGTACTGATAGCAGCATGTACAGAAAATATTTATACTTTTAGCTGGTTCTGGGAAGAGATTGTGACTCAGAATGGGAAAGCAGCCAAATGCATTCAAGATGCAAGATTGACTGAGAAAATGGGGAGATGTAATGCGGGAGTGTCAGAAGTCAAAGTCTGGGTCCAAGGGTGGAATGTGTCTGGATTCAAAGAGAAAATGTATTTCAGTTTGGCTTACATTCAAAAATGAAATATCCTTGTTGCCTTTCAAATTTTTTTTCTAAAGTTATTTAATTCTGTGATCAAATTTGAAGGAGTTATAAGAATTTTACACATTTTCCTTAAGTGTATGGAAGCTGTGAGAGATAGAAAGATCTAAAACTCAGCAGGAGGATAGAGGAGAAAGCAGTCAGCTGAAAATATCTGTCAGAGGACAAGCTTGTCACTGCTCTAGCTATATCCCAAGTACATGATGTTCAGCAACTGCAGCTTCCAATGAAGCTAATGAATGAACAAAGCTTAGTAATTCTGAAAACGTCACTCAAAGTTGCTAACTGCATGAACTCATTTCACCACATTTGGAATTTTCTCACATCCATTTCCTCCCTGTTGACTAATTATATTCAGCTTGCAACTACTGCATCTGCAAACTGATTTCCAAATATATTTTCTGAATATGATAACAAAATGCAGAAGAAACCTTGGAAAGAGACCTTGGGAAAAAAAACAAAAACAAACCACAAAACCAAACAACTTACCCTGGTACAAGCTCCAGTTGTGGTTTCACAAACTGTAAGGATGGAGATATTCTGAGCTCTGTTTAACCATCTCACCACAGCCTTGGTGTTGCTTATCCATTTCACCATGGTGATATAATATTCCCTAAGCAAAACATTTGAGAACACAAGGTTCAGATCATTGGTATTTCAGATTAGACTTCAGGAGAAAAAACCCCATATATACAGTTCATTTTAATGCTGAATTTGTACTGCCTGACTAAAGGATGGAGAAAATAACCCCAAATGTCCAGCATCTGTGTTCCTACAAGTGGGATGGCTCAGTCCTTCAGTGTGATGTTCCCCTGGGAAATTTTTGCATATATACACAAACTTTACCAACTGTGAGACATATGCTTGCAAATACACATGAACTGTGTACTTTCCAGGCAGCTTAGAAACAAGCACTGAATTCCAACAGAAGCCAGTATTTTCCTACAACAAATAACTTCAGATGACACACATTTTTGCAAAATAATTCAGTCTTACTGCCAAAGAAAAAAATATCTATAATATTAGAGTTAAGCTAGAGCGCACTTTATAAAATCATAAAGTAATAAGTATTTTGTAACAGGACTTCTGGATAAAAGGGAGGTCCCTCTCACTATCAATGTGTTCCTGTTTCTGTTTTAACAAACAGCTCATAATATCAGCCAAATTGTCTGTCCCCCAACACCCCTGGCTGAGCACATGAGGCTTCCATTGGGCTGGTGCTATGGAGGATTTGCTATGGAGGACCTATTGCACTCTGTCATTCCTGCCCAGCTATTTCCTTCCCTTCTCTCCCACTGGCAGCTCTCACAGTGCAGCTGAGTTATGTGCTGGAGTGGAGTCAGCTTGTCTGGAAAAAACTCAGACCCCCTTTAAAACAAGGGGCTTAGCTTGAATATAATTAGGCTTTTAATCTATTACTGATAGGGATCTCATTACTCTTTGACAACAGGCTTTTAATTATACATTCAAAAGGCTCCTTGCTAGCTCAGAGCTGCTGAGCAGCACCAGCAGCAGAGCTGCACACAGCAGAGGCAGGAGACAGGAGAGCACTGCAGCTTCACCCAGCCTGGTGCTGTGTTTGCAGAACACACCTGAGCAACCCAGCATGCAGATTCCTCTGGCTTTCATACTTGACTACTAGTAAAACAGGTATTTTCACATCTGGATACCAGAATGATAAACCAAAATGGGGACTTCAAGTCTGCTCTGAGTCTAATACTTACCTTTTGGTGGTTTTTTTTTTTTTTTGCTTTAACAGATGTTTAATCTTACTGAGCAGCAAAAATTTAAGCACAAGTAAAACAAGAGCTACCATGACACCAGGTGACACAAGCAGGAGAGCAATCCGTTTGTGTCCCCAAGCTTCTCAGGCTTTATTGTACACACCTCCAGCTTCCTCACAACCCCACTTGCAAGAGGAAAAACTAATTGCATTCTGGACAAAGGACTGGAGTAAAATATTAAAGATGTTTTTCACTGAAGAAAACATAACTGTACACATGAAATTGAAGCACCAAGGGGGAAACAGTAATTGCATGAAATACAACCATGTGTTTGAAGGAAGACTGTCAGTCTTTTTCTGACATTAACAGTGCATAGCAGGTGGTAAATTTTTCTACAGAATGTAACTTTCAGGAGTAAAATTTACAAGTGTTATACCTATCTTTATATCAGAATAGCCTGAACAGGAATAGGAAAATATTACCAAGTACCTTTATAGGATCCCTAAAAGAAGCAAATTAATTTTTCATTGAATTTATTCATTGACTTTTTCATTGAATTTATTCAATCTTACATCAAGTTCCCAGATGCCCTAAAAATCAGGAAAACAGTTTTATGTCTTCAAAGGTCCTACACCAGACACAATTTGGGAAAAGTTAAGGATCTGAATGTTACTTTTTTTGTTAACTAACAGAACCTCTTTCCCCTTCCCTTTCCCTCTCCTTTCCCATTTCTTTGGTTTCTCTGTGCAGGAGTGAATCTCTCCATAACAGCAAATGGGTATGACCTGTATAACTACTTCTAAAAATAGTTTAATAAATAACCTATAACTATTTCTAAAAATGTTTCTGTCCTTAAAGTTATATGTGATAATGAACCATTCGATTTAATTCTGAAATACTCCCATGACCTATTTACTAATAACTCCATAATGAAAGGGTTAGAAACACACTGAAATAAAATGAATTCTAAAGGTAGCTGCTACTTTTACTAAAAAAAGCTAATACTTTAGGAAAAAAAAACAAAACAACCAACAACTCCCAATCATTGCTAACTTCAAAGATTTTCACTCTAGAAAAGCCTATTTAAAGCACATATCTCTATATATTGATATATGGACATATGTGGGTTGATGACCAGTGTGAAGACTGTTACTGAAATCCTGAGTCAAATTCATAATTTACAGTAAAAACAGATAACAAATATACAATCTTTCTAAGTTTTACTGCATGAAAATTATACCTTAATAGTTAAATGAAGAAGAAACTAACTTTTTTCCCCAGATTTAAATAGATTTACTCAGTCTTCTCATGCACTAGCAAGCCTGAATTTTAATGAAATGAACAACAACAATATCTTTATCAAGAACAAGCAAAGATGCTCCAGAGATTTGGCTTCAGTTTCAAGAAGACAAAGGAAATTTTAAGATACTAACATTAATATTTGAGTCCACTATTACCTTCCATCTGCTGAGGAGGCAGAATGAATCTGAAAATCCTGAAGTGAGACCGTAAGATCTGAACAACATTTTCAAGATTATCTTTATCTTGGGGATCTTTTCTTACACATTGCTTTTTTGCTTTACTTTGCTCCTTCTGACACTTAAAGTTCAACTTTAATGTCATCAAGGTGAGTGAAGATGCTTATCTTGATGGCAAGAAATCTCTTTCAGATTTACAGCACTGTTTAAATTAATGAAGGGTTAGCAAGCAGCAGCAGATTTTATTATGTTTTTCAGTAGTGGGCCATCAATAGACAGAAAATAATTCAAAATGTTCAACTCATTCAAAATAATTTCTCATACTAACACAATCAGTAAGCATTTCAGTTGACACTAATAACTGCAAGGCATAATTCACTATTAAATTATTCCTGCAATAAATTAGAGTACTTCAATTTATGTAAAAGAGAGCTACACCAGCCTAAGACTGTTTGTATCAGTTGTGAATAAGCGGCCACTGATAACATCCTGATTGTTTTGGGAACAATTACCATAAAACATTTCACCATGAAATTATATACCTTGACTTAAAGCTGTCAGGTGGCATCAGTTCCAGGGTATGTGCTGGTCCATACAGATTAACTACAAACAGCTTTACTGTGGGGTTTGTTTGACCTGCCTTTGGAAAAAGAAAAAAGAAAAAAGGAGTTTTAGAGGCACTGAATCAGTGACAACTAAGCAGACTCAGTTGTTAAAATAATTCAGTATCTTTATAATAACAAAAAGTTATTAAAGCTCAAGTATCTTAAATCTGAAATATTAATTTCATAGCTATATGAATCACACAGATAAAGATATGAAGTATTGAGTGATTTTTTTCCCCACTCTTTACTCATGGAACATCTCCCTGTGCAGAGCAAGTGACCAGTACTACAAGAGGCTTTGCCCACTTCAGTGCAGTCAGCGACCAAAACACAGCCAGTTCCTAAATCTGCTGGTAAATGCAGCCTCCAGCTAAGTCCTTTTCAGATTCTGTTGTTCCTTCTGAAAAGCTGCACTACCTCAGTCTTGTATAGCATTCTTCCTCTCCCACCTCTCTTTTTCTTTACCATTTTCCCTCAGTCTTCACAGTCTTCCTTCCCTTGGTTGCTGAGCTGAAAATCTCAATTTCTGGCCTGTACCAGGAGCCAGCTGCTTTGGCAGGCCAGCTCCCAGGGAAACAAAATTATTCTTGTGGCTGAAGGGGAATAATATGGCAGTTTGATAGATACCCACTGGGAAGAGTCTGATAAATCCTGAGGATCTACAGGGAGGTGGGAATCATCCTTCTCCTGTAACATGGCTTGTTGCTAAGGGATGTTCCTGAGATGAAGAGAAAGCAATGGAAATAGGAAGAGAGGCTCTGGAGGGCTGCAAGGAGGTGCTACTGGTCCCACATCCCTGTCCTATGCTATCCCCAAGTTTCAGTTTCATGTCACAGGAATTACACTATCCAACACCCTTGGGATACAAAGCATGAAGTGTGCTCCTCAGTGGGGCTGAGCTCTGTTTAATACTGGAAGGAAAAGGTAAAAATCACTGATTCTACAGATTTACTATGGTATATTACAAAGCTGTATACTTGGCTCTTCACAGGCTGAAGTACACCCACAATTTCCTGGTAGAAATTGGGCTTATCTCAAAATGAGGTCCAAATGCTGTGTCCACTCATTTCTGAGTGGTATGGAGGACAAGAAAGTGGCATTTGTGTATTTTAACACTGCTTGGAAAAAAATAAAACTTTTTTTTTAAAAGAATATATTCTGTGTGTATGACATGTACACAGACACAGATAAGCAAGTTCCAGTGCTCACAAAAAACATGTGTGATTCAGTTTATTTTTTAATCTTAGTTATAATTTTCTCTGATGGTTGCACTCTATAATAAAGGCCAAATCTTTTTTGTAATCTCTGTTGCTACACCACCAGCTTCATTACCAATTAATGATGTTTAACGAGGAACTAAATTTGTATTAAATGGAGACATTAAATAAAGATAATGTTTCTTCATTAATGAGATTACTGAAGTAGTATTGTGTATCACTTTTATGCTGAATTGCTAATGAAATAATATTACTCCTTGCTCATTTACAAAGCTGGCTTAAAAATATTCCTTATTTTATTCTTTGCTCTGCCACTCAAGGCAATTACTGTTGTTTCATTATTTCAGAGTATTATTTCATACCACAAATATATTCTATTTATATAATGTATGTTATTGTTTCATAGTACCTTGTACAGTCTAACTGTTCAGCCATCAAGAATAAAGGTTCCTCACCAAAAACCAGTAGCAGGAATAGCAAGGTAACAGAATATTTTCTAAAGCTCTCAATAAACTTGCCCTGAAATGCCAGAGGAGTACCATATGGACCCCCCAGAAAGGAACTCAGACACTTTGTGCAAGGGCTGGATAAACTGATCAGCTGTAAGATCAAAACAGCAGATCTGGAGGCAACTCACCAGAAAATCCCCAGAAAATGAGAAGTGATTTCAGGCATTACCCCTATTGGGCTGTTCTTTCACTTGCCAGAACAAACCTAAAAAACCTTCTCTAAATCTTCTAAAACACTGACAGTTCTATTTTTTTTTCCCTTTTTGATGGCCATGAAAATATGTTACTGTGGCTTCTCTTATTCAATGCCAGTCTGTCACATTTATTAAAAACAGCACAATCTACTGAGATCTCTGTATCTGGGAAGGAACCTGCCCTGAGCTCTGCACACAATGTCTGACTCCAGAGCAACTGGGGCTGGATCTTTTTCTTATACAGTCCTTCAAATGCTTTATCTTTCTGTCTGAGGTGCTGGATTGATTTTACCAAGCCAAACACCAGTGATGAAATTACTTAAATTAGTTTCTCTGCTGTCCCCTCACCTGACAGTTTATTTTCAGGTAATCTACTGAAAAAAAATATTATTTCCTCAAAAGCATCATGAACAAAACCAGCCTCTGTTACTGTCTGGAAACACTCTTTCTACATGGCTGAATATTATCAGTGACCTCAGAAGAGGAGGTGGGGGGGTGTATTCCCACTCATCTTACCTTAGGATATGGATACTGCTTTCCCTTTGGATACAGACCTCCTGTGAACCTGGGAATGACCATGTTGGGCACCAGAGAGTCATTGATGGTCAGGAAGGCCAGTCTTTCCCCATCTGGAGACCACCAGTGGGCAATGTGGGAGTGGAGAAGTTCCTCTGCAAAACCAGATTTCCTCAGAGTCCTTACAAAAATTCACACACAGTGTCCAGCTTGTTCAGCTGGCACCAAGTTGCTTTCCCTGTGCCAACTTGAAATGTGTCTGTTGCAATTTCAGTAATTTCACATCATCCTGCCTTGAATGGTTGGATAACAAGGAACATTGAAGGAGCATTTTCCTCAAATGCATACTTCCACTAACATCAATAAATCATCTAAATATGAAAGATGATTGTTACTGACATATGCTCAGTTCTATTGCATTCCAATAAATGTGTTTACTTAAATTTTAAATAATTTAAAATAATTTGGGGGTTTGGGGTATTTTTTTTGATTGCCATTTTTTTTTCTTCTCCTCTTAATATAGAACTTCAGTATCCTGATTTCTCTGAATTGTGGCACCTGATAATATGCAGATCTTCACACAGTCATATTTATGTAATCGATTTTGGAGTGCAATTTTCTTGTCTCAGTCTAGTGGACGGCTTTAATTTTTAGGAAGTTCAGTTCTTCTGGAGTAAAACACTCTGAAAATCTGAACCAAACTTTCTTATAATTCAAATTTTATTTGCTTTCCAAATGAATCCAATTCTCCAAGAATGTCACTCAATGTTTTCTTACATTTATTGTCAGTCTATATCACCATAAAAAGAAACAAACCAGAAGCAAGCACAGGTACAAAACCCAAACTCCTGGAATCCCAGCAGCTCCTGAGCAATTCTGAATTCTCCCTGTACAAGTCTTCTGTTTCTACTTATGAAAATACTCTGAATTTTCATTATGTATTTGATATGTTAGCCTGCTTAGTAAGGATTTTTTATTTAAATCTGAAGAATTTGGCTGGAAAACGAATTGAGAATAGTGTACCAGGGGAAAAGGCCTGACTGCATACCTAATTGGAGAGCCTACCTTACAAAACTACTTAAACTGTCAATAGAGACTCTCCAAGTTGCTAATTGGATTCTGAGGGTTCTGAAGCAGCTTAATTGGTTGAATTATCTAAGTTTAGGTGAAATGAAGCTGGGACCTATATTCAAAGTCATATATTCTGGGTCATGCTTCTCTCTCGGGCTGGATAACTAAAAACTTTTACACAGGAGAAGAGCAGAGAACAAATGGTGAATATCAGATAGCAGAAAACCACAATGATGTTTGCTTTAAAATATTACTGTTTGCATTTACACAAGGTTATTCACACAAAGAAAAGCTATTCCCAAATGCTTTGTAAGGTAAAATGCTAGTAACAATCTCATGAAAAGACAAAAGAAAACAAATGAGGTCAAAGGAGGAAGAGTGCTCGATTCAACTGAAAATGTCTCAACTGCACCTGGAAAATATTCAGCCTGCTCAGCTTGTGATGCTGTTAAAAATCTGCTGAAAGTGGAGCTGTGCTCCAGGTTAATGGGAAAGGAGCAGTGTGTTCCTGTGCCAGCAGACACTGGGGTTCTCCAGCATGTGCAGTCTCACCCTGACTTCCATGGTGTTCAGAGCTGAGAAGGGCTCACTGCCTGCCCGCAGATTAAAAGACTTGGAAAATAATGAGCAAAGAAGGACTCTTCACTAAAAGAAGGTTTTAGGACATGATTCATGAGGAAGGCTTTGGGATCATCTCCCACAGCACCTCAGAAACTTTCTAGTCCCAAACAAGACAACTTTTGCCTCTCCTGGCTCTCACTCTTATTAATTTCTTATTAACTTATTATTAACTCTTATAAAATTCACTTTGTTTTAGCAAAAACTTGATATATTACATCAAGACTGATGAGTTATATCTGCTTAAATTCTTCAACCTGCATGCTGTCATGTAAGATTTTAAGATTATTAAGTGCATATAAAATTATATTCCTTTTAAAAAATGTTCTTTTTTTGAAAAATGCTGCCACATTAAAATATTTCAAAGCACTAATGAAAATCTTGGAAGTGATTACCTATCTGATCACTTTATAGACTGAGGGATGCAGATTACCATTTTAACTTCAGAGTTCACTTGGGCAGAGATTTGAAAAAAAACCCATGGTGAGCTGTTTGCCCACAACTACTGCAATGCCAAGAGGTGTGGATAGACCATTTTTAAGGTGAAGTTCTGTGCTGCATGGCATTAACACCATTACTAAAAAAACCTCTTCACATGAGAAATTTCATACCTCAGGTAAATTAACACCAAGCTATTTATCTATAGAATAGTGTAGATGAAATGTGTAATAATTTTAAGCTGTTATACCAAGCTAGATAATTTTCTCCCTTTTTAAAATTTTTTTCCTCTTAAATTTATCATTATGTTAAAAGCATTTTGGGTACAGAGAGAAACATTCTGTGACTGCAGAAGACAGACTGAGCTATCCCCCCCTCAAATCTGGGTGCCCTTTTCTGTGGGGATGCTTTAACTGTAAATGGATCATCACTGCTGTCCCTAAAAGCAGCCAACTGAGTCCTTTCCCTGCTCACTTTTACATGCTACCAAGAGTGCATTTGCTACATTCTAGTTTGAAATGAATTCTTCTTTCTCAGATGCAACCAGCAGCCAATACAAAGAATGAGCAGATACAAAGGCAATCTTGCAGGAAAATGAGAAGGGAAAGGAACAAACCCACCCTCAGCATTTTCTGGAATGAAAAGATTTGTGCTGCTGGGTCTGTGCATGGACCTTGCATCTGTTTTTGTAAGCAGATATATTTGTCCAGCTTACCTTCATATAGCCAGTCTGTAATTCCATTAAAAATAATTCCTTCTTTTCCTGAGGATGTCAGGCGCAATGAGCTGCTCTTTACATCAGGCTGATAGTAGATGTTATTTTCAAATATATAAATCTGGATGAGGTAAGAGAGATGGAGAGAAAACCAACATTTTGGTAGATAGAAATGAATGTTCAGCAATGAATACATAATTTCCTCAGGCTCAGAACAGTCTACAGAATAATTCAGCATGAGTTTGCACCAACATTGTCTTCATATTCCATTTTATTATAAAATTGGACAAACCAAACAAACTTTTAATACTTAAGGCAAGCAAATGCTTCCTTTGAAATTGTCTTTCCAGTTGAAATATTCCTATTCGTGTTAAAAAAATATTATTGCATTCTTAAAAATCATACAGGAGACAAGTTTTATAACAGCTGAATGAATAAATAAAGAAATTTTCATCTGTTTTTTTAACTGCGAAATGAAACACACTTCTGGAACGACATACAGCACAGTACATACATCATAAATATAAGTTACAGCTTTATATCAGGGTGTGAGAACACATTTGAAAAGCAAAAACAAATAGCAGCCTGCTTTTCTCAGCTTGTTGATGACTTCTGACTGACACACCAATGCTTTACCTCAAGTGTACTACATAAATGCTCTTTATTTTTCAACTCTGGGCTTCTCATCATCCTTTTTCCTTCTTCACTGCCACTCATTAGCCTTGTCTGCTCTTTCCCTGCTGACTTTGTTGCAAAGGGTATCAAGTTCACCCATCTTGTGAGGCTGAGCTACAGGTTCCCTGACAAAGTGCAATAAATCACAATGGCCACGTGTGCACTAGCACAGCTTTACACCAAAACCAAAGCAACAGCAAGATTATGCACCACCTCAATTCACACTGAGAAAAGGCATCTGTGACAGGACTGAAGAAGCCAAATGCCACAGAAGTTTTTGTTACCATCTCAGCACTGTACGCTCATGATATACAGTGTCTCAGGGAGCGGAACAGGAACTAAATATATTTCCACCAAAGACTATTTAAAAAGCCTGGTCATTTATCATTCTCTCATACTTCCAGAATACACGACTTATGGAAAAATACTAACCAAAGAGCAAAGTTTTATTAGCACTATTACTGCTGTTCCCTTTGCTTCTAAATTACCATCTGAAATAGGTTTCCCTATGAGTCTCCAAACTAATGATTTCTAGCAGCAGCCATTTCATGATTTCTGCTGCAGAAAGCTGTAAAACTGAGGTTTCTTTACATTCAATGAGCAATGCAATGATTTTAACCAATACTGGGAACAGAGGGTGACTTGGAAGTAAGTCCTTTATGGCCAGATATCAAAGCTTAGCAGTGAGTTCAAATCTGAAGCAACAATAGATGAACCAGTTTGAATAATCCAAAATATACTGAGCTTTATATTAGTACAAAGAATTTCATTTCTGGGAAGCTGATGTATCACTCAACATCAACAGCAAAAGAACCACGAGAGAACGCTGTATCAAACGCTGGATGATTTTTAAAATAACATCAACAAGAACTTCCTGTAATGTGTATTTCCACACTAAAAATGCACTTTTATTTCTAACATAAAAGAAATGAATACAAACAAACCCAAGACATGTTTAACTGTTTATAAAATAATTGTGCAAAATATTTTTTATTTATGTCAACTAAAACTATTGCTAACATACTCCATTACAGGTAGACTAAGCAGTGAACCACCCTAATAACTATTGCTTCCTATGAAGCAACTTCTTACTGAGAGCTGACAACCCCTTCTTATTTAAACAGCAGCTTTCAAGAGGTTACCAAAAAAGCTTACTTGGTCAAATAATTCTATTTTATTTAATCTTCTTAAATTTAAAAAAATCAAATTGATTTTTGAAGATCAGGAGTGTGATTTTTGCTTCTCTCCCCCCTTTTCAGGCTGTTAGTGTTCTAAATAGTGAAGATACCCACACTGTCTTGTCTCTGCAGTGAAAACTTGCATTTCAAATGATCAGTGACAAAGCACAGGATTAAGAATTACTTGTTTTATGACTGAACCCTGAGAAGGTTTTTAACCCCAAGAAGGCTTATAATCCTATTATTACTACTTATCAGGCACTGCTAATTCCATTTGACAGATCCCAGTTAAGTAAATATCTCTGAAGGATGCTCACTGTTGTGCCACTGATTGTGGCTGTATCATCTTTATTCCTCATTCATTTCATAAACAGCTTTGTCTCCTAAACCAGTTGTCAGCCACCCTCTGAACATCCTCACAGTCTTAGTCTACTCTATCATCCAAAGTTACCCCTCTTTCCTCATCACTCCTGAAACAACTTTGAAACTGCTTCAACTTTGAAAGCAGCTCCAAACCCCCACTTTTTTTTTGCATGTACATACTTGAACATTTTAAAGTTCTTGAAATGCTTCAAGGTCAGACAGCAGCTCTGTCCCTAGCAAGACTGGAGCTCACTGATTACTGAATTTAACATTAAGAAGGAAGAATTCATGTTCCTTTGCAGAACATTTGTGAAACACAACCATTCATGTTCCTCAACACAACTAAACTGCACAGAAGTGCACATGGATGAGTGGTTGGAGCTCTGGCAAGTTCAGGCTCTGCACTGTCTGGACCATTCCCAAAGATCTATTTCCCCTGCCTATAAATCATCTTAGGAAGATTCACCATTACGGTTAGGTATTTATTCTCATCTGGAATTTTGAATATTTGTTGTATTTCAGGAGGTGCCATTTTCCAGAGGAAGCCCCATGGCTGCTGTTTGCACGGACAGATTTGCACCCTTCCTACAGTGACAGAGCCTGACCCCTGCAGAAAGGGCTGCCTGCATTCCCCTCCACCCCTGACCATGCCGAAGGGCTCATCTGTAACTATTTAACCCATTCACCACTTGGAAATAAGGACTTGGGAGTTAAAATGTTGATTTCTGCAGCATAACAGGCAGCAGAGGTGCAACAGAAATGGTAACATTACTGTGAAGGCTACTAAGTCCTGGCCTGAGAGGCTCTCACTTCTCTCTCAGCGAATGCAAGCAGTGGATTCAATTAAGCACAAGGACTTTGTGCACCCACAGAGCCCAATCTCCCATCAGTCTGCAGCCAAGAAAGGCATTTCCAAAAGACAGACTCACTGTGAATTATTCTTCCCAGTATAATACTTATATGATACAAATCTACCTTACACATAGCTCTAAAATACTGAAATTTTAATAGATCACCCCTTAAAATTAATCCTGTTTTCAAGATTGTGAGTAGATCCTGGTGCTTTCACCTTGTACTTGCAGATAGAACAACAGCCAGTAGCTAAAGGTGGTGTCAAATGTGAAGTGGCATAAGGAGAAAAACACTGACTAATTTATGAGAATTATCAAGAGCCCACAAACTAAGAGAAGAAATGGAACTATGCCTCAGCTGAAACATGCAAAAAAAAAAAAAAAAAAAAATCCAGCCCCAGAGGAAGGGAAGCCCTTAAATGACAAGCCCTTTCCTCCCTGCACAACACCTGAGATTCTTTTCTTTGCTTCATGTATTTTTCTCTTTCTTGCTCAATTTAAAAATCACCAATGCCTTCTGATAAAACCTCCTTACAATTCTGCTTTATGTTACACTAAAATTTACTTCTAATATTTTTTTTTCAAAAGCACAGAGACTAGATGAAAATTTTTATTTTTTAAAAGGGAGCTACTCCTGCTGATTACTTACAGTACAAGAACACCTGGAAGTTGAACTTATGAGCCAAAATTTGGTTTTCAAAATTGAGTGAAAGAGAAAGAAAGTGGCTGAGAGAGAACTCAGACAAAAACTTTTCTTATAAGAGAGACTGAAATTCTCCAACACTGCAAGGCAGATAACAAATAATGACCCTGGAATAAAAATAATTTATTAGAACAAACAAAACCAAACAAATCCTTGGAGCACTGTCTTGAAAACACATGTGCCTTACCTGATTTCAGGAAGTAGAACTGAAGATGTGCCCAAAAGTTTCCAGGAAGGGGACACAATTCATCACCTTGTATATTGTGTTTTGAGCAACACCACATAAACCAAGATTTCCCTTGCTCATCTCTCTCCACTCAGGTATATGGGAGCAAGTAATAGTAAAAGGCTTTTCTTAGTATACACTTGGGTCTATTTACTACATCACAAATACTAAAATGTTGACTGCAACTACTGAATCTTCCCAAACTGCTAAAAAAGGAGTTGCTAACTGTGTATCAGACAGGTATTCTCAAGAATACATCAGTAGCTTTGTGCCCAAAAAAAGCTTTCAGTGCTTTCAGGTATAATGATAAGAAAGTAAATTGAAAAAGGCACAAAGTGGAACCAGGATATGCTACTGTATGTGGAAATTATTTTTACATGTTTTTTTAACCTCTTCTCCTCTATCCATCTTTCATGAGTAGTCTTAAAACATTTAAAGCAAGTTTTAGCTGAAACCCTCAGCTAATAGTGCTGTAAATGGGGATGTCAAAATCTACTACCTTCAAAATTATGTGACTTTGTGATTTCTTAGAGATTTTGCACATCAAGTCTTAAACCAAATGGAGAAAAACCCCACAGAAATTCTTTAATTATTGTATTATTTTCCAATTAATGAAAAACACCTGCAAGAATGTTTTGGCTTAGTGAGATATTAATTATTGATAATGATCACATTTATTTCCACTGACTGTGAAGAATCTGAGACCCTGCTTGCCCTAATATCCTACCTCAGCACTAATCCTCAGCACAAATCACATTCTTCCACATCTGGCATCCTCTAAACCATTTTTTCATAAACCTTCTTCTAAATGAATTCTTTCCAAAACATTTATTTACTGTTTGCAGCATGTTTCACAATTACAGGATTTGCTTTCAGGCTGAGGTCTGGAGCAGAGCACCCAGTCCAAGTTAGCTACAGATGGCAGACAGCTGCGAAAACAGAGACATCCACTCCCCAGCTGAACAGCAAACCTAGTGCCAGTAGCTGGAGAGGCCCCCCGTGTGTCTTTAATCATTTCAAACACTACAGGCAGAGAAAAGCTGCTAAATTATAGAAAAAATACTCCACTTTTTCCCTTTTGGTCCTCCACTGAAGCCTCCAGCATGGCCATCCACACTGAATCCC